CCGACTGGCCAACTTTTTGTACCGACTGGCGACTTTTTGTACCGACTGGCCAACTTTTTGTACCGACTGACGACTTTTTCTATCGACTGGCGACTTTTTGTACCGACTGACGACTTTTTCTACCAACTGACGACTATATGTAACAACTGGACAATTCTTTTTACTATTATTGGTTAGAAACATAAATCTTATACTTTTAAATAAAAAAAAGAAAGAAAAATTAAATAAATGCATCCTCTCATTTATGACGTATCAAATCTGAAACCAATAAGATCAAAAATGACTTTATAACTAATTCTAACCTACTTATTGAATTCAAAAGTTTCCAGCTTCGGAATAATTCAAAAAAAATTTAGTTATGAGCATTATCTTTTTGACTTCCTAATATTTAACTGTGTCAGTTTACGGAATTCTTAATAAACCGTAATTTTCAATATATAGAAGGGATATGGTGGGAGGGGGAGGGGAGGTGATACTAAAGTTTGAAATGCGGTTGCTGGAAAATTGAATTTCAAGTTTAAGGAATGTGTAACTAAATTGAAAGCTCTGGCGCCGCAAATAGAAAAGATTTGATCAAATACAGTTTCCGGAATAGTTCTATCTTGGAGTAGTTGACAGGGGTACCCACAAAACAAGAAACTTCAGAGACAACTTTACAGAATTTATTTTCAATTATGGTTCCCTAAAATAGTACTGGTTTCTTCTTAACTAGAATTATTTAACACACCTTTAAGCAAGTTAAGTTAGGAAGAACTTCAAATAGCTATGATCAAGTTTAATTTTTAGGTAATCTTAAAAAATGACGACATTAAAGTGTTCGTATACGTTGAAATTGGGGTTCTGCATAACATCAGTCTTTTATTGGTTGATAAGAAGATTTAACAACGGGAAAAGTATTTTATAGTCACGCTAACCATGAGTGTAAGAAACGGAGTACGCCGAACATTCCTGCCCTGCTGTACAGTTTTATACAAAATATGTACAGCTGTACAGTTTTATACAAAATATGTACAGTTTTATACAAAATATGTACATTTTTATACAAAATATGTACAGCTGTACAGTTTTATACAAAATATGTACAGCTGTACAGTTTTATACAAAATATGTACAGTTTTATACAAAATATGTACAGTTTTATACAAAATATGTACATTTTTATACAAAATATGTACAGCTGTGAAGGGGGAGGTGCGGCGTATAAACTTTGCCAAGGGGAAAAATGAAGAATTCCATTTAAGGGGGGTAGGATGTCCGTAACCAAATTTTTTAGAATTTTCCTTTAAGATGGAATCAATTTTTTTTCAAGGGAAGGGGGGGTCCCCATCCCTTTAAATCCTTTCTAGTATTTATGTACAATAAACTTACATGTTCACAAAGCAGGTTCCAGCTTCTATATTGTCTGACACGTACATCGCCTTTATTTAACAAACGGAGATGTTAAAAAACAACATTATTTAAAGTTTCGTTATGAAAAAAAATATTCATCGAATGTCTTTTAAATATTTAAAGAGACTAAGACCCCAATTTAAACTCTATAACATCCCGATTCACAAATGTACTCATTCGCCTATTATCGGATTGACCATGAGGAGGATAATGTAGTTTTTCTTGAAAACATTAGAGTTATCTAAATCACCTAAAATGTCTGTTCTGTATAAATCTGTATCACTTTACACAGTATCGCAAAATTGTAGATTTGTTTAGATTTTTATACTTTAAACTATTTTAAGAAAAACTCGACCGTCCCTTTTTAAGCAGTATTAGAAATGAAGATTTAAACCTTTATCAACAAAATGGATCCTACCCGGCTTAACCTAAAAAATGGGAAATTGAGAAGAAAATAAATACCCTGAAAACAATGAAAAATGTGATGATTTGGTTGTTTTAAAGGAACACTGCAAGCGTAATTTCAAGTGACCCTCCATTCAAATCTGATCAAAAATGTGGAAGATACTGTCGTTTATTTTCGTGAGTTTCTCGATTGCTTCTTAAAATCATTCACGTTTGCCTTGAAACCGCAATTGAAAATAAACAGTTTAAAGAAACTAAAACATTGATATCTAATCCAAAATTGATCAGATAACGTTTTCAAGGGAACCGTTGTTAATCGGGTATTGTCATCTTTGCTCAGAGGGTCGCTTAAAACTACACTTACAGTCCCTTTAAATGCAAATATGCATAAAATTAAAGATATCCGCTGTTTCCTTATTGATATCCCGAGTAAAAACTCCAGAAGCTAATCCATACTCAGTATTGTTCGCTCTAAAAAAAACAGTAGTTTAATAAATGTAACACCTAAATAAAGAAGTATAAGTTTATAAAAAAAATGAAGAAATATTACAGAAAAAAACATTACTTATTTTTATCAATAATTTAAAATCATAAGTGTTACAAATTACAAAAAATTGGCTTATTTCTTTGCCAAACCATCAATAAGTCATGCAAAGACTATATTTAAGACAGAAAACCAAGGTTAAAGTCGCAATATCTTATTCCTCAAAGTCTCATCATTTGTGGTTAACCCTTTAGTTTATACCTGATAACAACTCCTTCTACGTCTCCAGCATCGAATTTTGATATGACCATTATAGGACCAAAACTCTCCTCTTTAGCCAAGTACATGTCGTCCTACATTATATATTCATATATATTAATAAACAACTACTAAAATTAATAAATAATCACAAAAACTAAAAAATAATTACCAAAATTAATAATTAATAACAAACATTCATGAATAATTTACCAAAATGATTAAATAATTATTTACCAAAATTACTAAATGATCCCCTAAATTAATAAAAAATTACCAAAATTGTTTTAAAAAATCCCCCAAATAAATAAATGAATATCGAAATGAGAATATAAACCCCAAATTACTAAATAATTACCAAAATTTTTAAGGATTACCTCTACATCGCAGAATATTGTTGGTTGCATATACAACCCTGGTCCCTCACACCTAGACCCACCTAGCACTAGTCGGGCACCCTGGAAACATATAAATATTCAGTTCAAATTTCTCTAAATTCCTCACCTATACCCGCTTTATTTTGTATATTTGAACAAACATATAAATATTCAGTTCAAATTTCTCTAAATTCCTCACCTATACCCGCTTTATTTTGTATATTTGAACAAACATATAAATATTCAGTTCATATTTACCTCAAAATGTATCTTAAAATCACCCCCCTTCTTTCTGATACATCAAATTTCAATTATATTTACAGATCTTTAAAGTCTTTGTGCTGAAACTTGGTAATCATTTTTGGAAAAAATCTAAATACATTTCTTAAATCAATAATTAATTAAATGAGTATTGGTTAAATTGGTATTTTTAATACCCTAATAAACAAGTTAAATAGTAAAAAAGTATGTACTGTAGAAATAATATAAGCAACATTATTCGTTAAAGAGACTTTGAGCGTAATTTCAAGTGGTTTCTGAAAAAAAGCGTTGCGCATTTATACTGCAGGAAAACGTATTGGAACTATCAGAATTATTTACTATTAAATCTAAAAACTACAATATCTTCCACAATATGATCGGATCAGGTTTCAAGGATAACGTTGTGAATTGAGCCTAAAGTTGGCAAAGGAAACAAACATATAGTTGACCAAGGGTCTAAATTTTTAAATCTTAAACCTTTAACTTTAGTGCTTAGACGGGTTTTCCTCCTCGACGGTTTAGCCTTATTTGTCATGTACAGCGTATTGGTGTCAAGAGATGGACAAATGTTCCACGACTTTAGGAGTTAAAAATCCTCAATTTATAATTATTTGCACTGTGTAGTATATCCTGAGTTCAGCTGCTGAAGCTAAGCGCTATTTCATTTAAAACTAAATTAAGAGCTGGCAAACCTTAATCTCTCTTTGGTTACTTTAACATTTAAACATTTAATTTCCATGCTTGTTTTCATAATTAATATTCAGGTTAATTTTAGTAAATTCCTCAAAGCAGCCCCCCCCCCCCCCCAACAGTACATGGAATATAAACTAAATTCCTTATTCTGTTTGATGAACTATATGTTCAATAAACAAGATTGGGGGGGGGGGGTGGAGAATCATGAATGTCAGCCAGTATAATTCCGATTAGAAACAAGGAAAACCTAACAAATAGCCCCCCCGGGTTCCCCTGAAAAAAAAATTCAGATGTGCCACACATGTTTTAGGAAGCTCAAATACGTAATGTTCGCACTTTAAAACTAGTTTTATACAAATGCTTTGCTTTGTACCTGTAAACGATTTAAACGAGCCAAACATGAAACTGGGATCAAATTTATTGCCTTTTTGCTACATTAGGATTAACAAATTTTAACAAAAGCTCAAGGGGTAGTTATCTAATACTCCAACCCCCCCCCCCCNAAAAAAAAATCATCCTTAAACTAAGTGTCATAGAAAAATTAGTAGAAAGGAATTGAGTCTTTGCAACAAACTCTGATTTTCTAATCTCTATATCTTTACACCCCAATGTCGCAGACCTTTGAGATTTCAAACAATGAATTTTGTTAGATCAAATAATTTAAATTTGAAATATCAAAGATTTACACCATAAGATTTCAAAGAATAGGGATTACAAAATTTGAGTTTGTGGCAAAGACTCAGTTCCTTTAAAACACTATTCCTGATCCCTCAGACTTTTTTAAAATGGCAGTTCCGTTGGATTAAATTGTTTTCTCACCTCCTTCACGCCAATCTGACAGTATTCTACAAGTTTATTGAGATGGGCCAGATGGTTCTGTGGACCATGCTGCGTGGACCTAGCAGACAGTACATAATACAACTTTTTATTAAAAAAATGTTAAAAAGGAATCAAAATTATGAACTGGCGAGCTATAAAAAACTCAAAGCTTAAAACAACTGTGGACAAAAAAACCTTGGACAAAAAAAGGAAAGTCTGGACTATTAAAAAAAACTATGAAAACAAAAAGAACTGTGGAAAAAATAACTACAGACACAAAAAAAAACTGTGGATCTAAAATATCTAAAAAAAATGATGCTGATCAAAAAATCAAAAAATACAAAATTGGTTATATATGTTTAGATGTATTCCTGTCAAGTGGATTGCCAATCTTCATCTTCTTGGTTTCAGCAATAACCCTAAAAATAGATTTTAGTCAAAGAAGGGGTATTTGAACTTACTTTTAATTGAACTTTCAAATAAAATCACAATGGTAATCAGATGTCTGGGTCAGCGAGCTTATACTTTCTAACCCTGTTTAATATTGAATGGTTAATTTTCTCTCATTTTCTAATCCATATTTTTTTTTGGCTCAATAACGTTTTTGGGGCATATACAATTCATTATGCTTTTCCCAGAGATTTTGGTTTAACAAGGGCCACGTTTAATAAATAACAAGAAACAGTTTAACTTTAATTGGTTATGATGAATCACTTCTCAATTGAACCGGTCGTTCAAGTTCAAGAGAGTAGTAATTTAACAACATATATTTTAAATTTCAAGTTATCTGGACCAACACTTTTTTTTATGACACAACTTATTATGTAAGGAGACTGCAAGCTTAATTTCAAGTATGATAGAATACTGTGGTAGAAAGTAGGATAGAATACTCCGGTAGAAAGTAGGATAGAATACTCTGGTAGAAAGTAGGATAAAATATTCTGGTAAAAAGTAGGATAGAATACTCTGGTAGAAAGTAGGATAGAATACTCTGGTAGAAAGTAGGATAACACATTCTGGTAAAAAGTAGGATAGAATACTCTGGTAGAAAGTAGGATAGAATACTCTAGTAAAAAGTAGGATAGAATACTCTGGTAGAAAGTAGGATAGAACCTCTGGAAGAAAGTAGGATAGAATACTCTGGTAGAAAGTAGGATAGAATACTCTTGTAGAAAGTAGGATAGAATACTCTGGAAGAAAGTAGGATAGAATACTCTGGTAGAAAGTAAGATAGAATACTCTGGTAGAAAGTAGGATAGAATACTCTGGTAGAAAGTAGGATAGAATATTCTGGTAGAAAGTAGGATAGAATATTCTGGTAGAAAGTAGGATAGAATATTCTGGTAGAAAGTAGGATAGAATATTCTGGTAGAAAGTAGGATAGAATATTCTGGTAGAAAGTAGGATAGAATATTCTGGTAGAAAGTAGGATAGAATATTCTGGTAGAAAGTAGGATAGAATACTCTGGTAGAAAGTAGGATAGAATATTCTGGTAGGAACTAAAGCCATGGTTTAAATGTTGTGCCAAAAAATAAAACAATTTTACTTATATATTCTTAGTTCAAAGAGAACACAAAGTTTATATAACATATATAACATTACAAGGATTATCTAGGATATAAGGATATAAAGGTGGAAAAGTTCAAATAAGGAAAAAGATCACAGAAGTTAATGTTATATCTGAAATTGTTTAGAACATTTTTTTCTTATAAAGTAAGTCTTAAGATTTGAAAGAGGTCAAAGATGGTAACATATGCGTTTACCGTCAAAGAAGGAGGGGATGAGGGGGGGGGAGGTTGTAAAGGAAAGTTGAGAAGGTTAAAAGATTACAAAGTTTAGTTAAATTATCCTCCAGGTTGATAGGTTCAAACCAGAAACTATTCTATAGATTATTTAATTGTAGACAGCATTATTTAAGATTATTTAATTGTAGACAGCATTATTCTAGATTATTTAACCGTTGACAACATTATTCAGGATTATTTAACTGAAGACAACATTATTCAAGATTATTTAACTGAAGACAACATAATTCAAGATTATTTAACTGTTAACAACAATATTCAAGAATATTTAACTGTTAGCAACAATATTCAAGATTATTTAACTGTTAACAACAATATTCAAGATTATTTAACTGTTAACAACAATATTCAAGAATATTTAACTGTAGACAACACCATTCTAGATAATTTAACTGTAGACAACAATATTCAAGATTATTTAACTGTTAACAACAATATTCAAGATTATTTAACTGTTAACAACAATATTCAAGAATATTTAACTGTAGACAACACCATTCTAGATAATTTAACTGTAGACAACATTATTCTAGATAATTTAACTGTAGACAACATTATTCTAGATTATTTAACTGTAGACGCCATTATTCTAGATTATTTAACTGTAGACAACATTATTCAAGATTATTTTTCTGTAGACGACATTATTCTAGATAATTTAAATGTAGACAACAAATTATTCTAGATTATTTAACTGTAAACGACATTATTCTAGATTATTTAACTGTAGACAACATTATTCTAGATTATTTAACTTTAGACAACATTATTCTAGATTATTTATCTGTAAACAACATTATTCTAGATAATTTAACTGTTGACAACATTATTTTAGATTATTTATCTGTAGACAACATTATTCTAGATTATTTAACTGTAGACAACATTATTTGGATTTCAATATGTCGCCTGTTGAAGGATAGGATATAGATTTTATGTCAAGAAAACATGGAGAACAGATACATACATTATTCTTTTTACGAAATTCAAATATTTGGCTGAAAACCTTACATGTCTTCGTTATTTTACAGATAAAGAATAAAGATTTCTAAATAATAATGTATCAAACGAGCATTTTAGGAATAATTATTGACGATAAAGAAGAAGCTTTTGAACATATATGTAATAATATATGTACATGGTGTCTTGACCATGACAATTTATATAAGTTTTTAAAATCCGCAATTCTATCATTGAAAATGAGCAAAGGAATTGAGTCTTTGCCACAAACTCTGAATTTCTAATCACTATATCTTTGGAACCAAATGTTGTAGACCTTAAATATTTCAAACCATGAATTCTTTTAAATCAAATAATCTGAGTTTGAAATATCACAGGTTTACAACATCTGGTTCAAGAGATATTGGGGTTTAAACATTTGATTTTATTCCAATTACTCAATTCCTTTATTTCATATTTTATATATTTTTTTTTATTTTCTTGGGAAAGAGATCGAGCTTATTTTCGAATATTAGGCCTTGCTTTGAATGTATAAACGGTTCATTAAAGCAAAATGCTTCATCGACGACCCCTGCATTTCTCTTGTACATACATACTAAAACATCTTGAGACCTTGGTGAATTAAAACAATGTATGTATCGTATTATTCGTATCCAATCTACATAAAACTATCAATAGTTTTTACTCAACAGAAAAATAGTTTTGCAACTATCTGAAGAAAATATGAGATTAACTCTATGTATATTGTATACCGTGGGAATAAAATGCATTGTTTTGTATATATTATGCATATATTATCTATAAGGTTAAATAGAGTAAAAAAACAACTTTTCTTTGAATCTATTTAGAATAGTACATTATTTACAAACAAACATTGTAGCTTTTTCAAAACGTACAAACATTGTCTAGCCTTACTCATTAGTTCTACTTTAACCTCCAAATCAGTTCATTTTCATTCAACTTTTTAAAAGTAGCATTGTTCACATAAAACGTTCTAGCCTACGTTGTAAACTTTAACAATACTCAAAGAAAAGGTTTAAACAAATACAAGTTTATAGTTTTATACATAATGAAGCAGCTTACCATTAAAAAATAACTAGATCTTCTTATTTTGAACAGTAGAAAGTTTATAATTAAAAACATTTGAAAAAAGATCACTCTTAAAAGTAACATTTAGCATTGTGCAACCAATAAAAGTAGCATTGAAAAAATATATTTAAGTAGCATCATACTAATATAAAATAACAGTATTATCTTATTATTTTCTGTTGCATTTTCAACAGAAAAATTTATAGAAAAGATTTGAAAGTTTCATATTTTCTTGCATTGTTAATGGAAAAAAGTTTTTAGAATGAATAGAATTTGCAAAAAATAGATAACCCATAAAAGTAAGGGATAGGCAATAGCCAGATTCGTTTTTCAGAAACTTTTAAAGTTTTTAGACTTTTAAAAGGTTTTTCGACAATATGAGAAGGTTCCAACATTTTAAAACTTTATTCTGTAGAAGCTTGCTTTTAGCATGCAAATTTGTTACCACAGAAGAAAATATAAGGCAAAAACGATCGTTTTTGGTTTGTTTTGTCTTATATTTTCACCTAGGATAACACATTTGAATGTTTTTTAAATGCAAACTTCTACAAAATACATTTTTAAATCTATAGACCCTTCTCAGATTGTCTTTAAATCTTTTTAAAGTTTAAACATATTAAAAGTTTTTTTAAAACAAATCTAGCTTTCGCCCATCGCTATGTACAGTGTACAATCCTTGTAGCACGGCAAAATGTATTTCATAATGGCAGCATTGTAAAAATATGAAAAAGCTTGATATATATTATATTTATACCTCAATATGTTTTCTATGCATTATGAACAGAAAAGAAGTTGCTTAAATAACTTTTTTCTTTTGACCCTCCTGTCATATATTATGTAGTAATAAATCTGCTTTATATACTGTCTACATGGTACACCCAGATATATACTGTCTACACGGTACACGCAGATATAAACTGTCTACACGGTACACCAAGATATAAACTGTCTACATGGTACACCCAGATATAAACTGTCTACATGGTACACCCAGATATATACTGTCTACATGGTACACCAAGATATATACTGTCTACATAGTACACCAAGATATATACTGTCTACATGGTACACCCAGATATATACTTTCTACACGGTACACGCAGATATAAACTGTCTACACGGTACACCCAGATATATACTGTCTACACGGTACACCCAGACATAAACTGTCTACATGGTACACCCAGATATATACTGTCTACACGGTACACCCAGATATATACTGTCTACACGGTACACCCAGATATATACTGTCTACACGGTATACCAAGATATAAACTGTCTACATGGTACACCAAGATATATACTGTCTACATGGTACACCCAGAACTGTCTACACGGTACACCCAGATATAAAGTTTTTAAAATGTTTAATTCTAGTAAATTTCTACTCATTGCATATGCAATAGAATTGCAAAATTGAAACGACTCCAAAACTAAAAATAATTTTTTTTAAATCTTTAAATGGCAATGATGAATGAAACCATACTTTAATGAATTAAGGGCCGCTTAAATAACCAATAAAGTACCTGTGTAAGAATTAAATATGCAAGTAAATAAAATCTGAATTACCTTTGTATAAAAACATCATAGATTGTCTCTTCTACAAAGATACGTCCTGGGACCAAATTTAATGAATTGCATTAAGGTCGCTGAATTACCTCCTACCGGATCAAAATTGAATCACCAATTTAAAGTTTAAGATTCGGGAACCGAATTAAAGATTTGAATCGGTGTATCAAGATTTGAACCGGCTGTAAGTAGTTCAGCAGCCTTATTTATTAAATTTCATCCCTGCAGCAATACAGTTCTCCCCCTTGTTGAAGAACACGCTCCCCAGGGCGTTCTTCACAGCCTTCTCCATATCACAGTCTTCAAATATTATCAGAGGAGACTTTCCTCCCAGCTCTGAAATATAAAAATTCTAAAGAAAAATTGGTAAATATAATAAATGGAATAATTTTATTTCTATCTGATGTTTTCGTAATAAAAACTTAATTTAATCTGTTCTCCCACTCCAGTATGACTATTAGCAATGAATTCCATTTGAATGATCGCCGCCAATTTCTCCTATTGATTTTGATTTGATGGATAAATTGAGGGTTAAAGGAGTGCGGGAGAGAGAAAGATAGATAGATAGTGTAGAGATACAAAAAATGCGATGTAACTTTTAACTCTCTATACAGTGGAACTACAATGGGAACTAAAGCTATGGAATAGAAAGACGACAGTTAGACTAGATTTGTTTAATTTTAATTAATATATTAAGTTTAAGGCAATTGACAAAAGTGTTCATAAGTAAAATTGATGGATAAGGTATCTGATGTTTTCGTAATACAAAGGAACTGAGTTTAGGCAACAAACTCAAATTTTCTGATTCCTACATCTGTGCAACTTAAATCTTTGATATTGATCAGTCTAACAGAATGCATAGTTTGAAATATCAAAGATTTAGGCCATTGAGTTTAAAAGATATAGGGATTAGAAATCGGAGTTTGTGGTTAAAACTCAGTTCCTTTGATTTTTCCACAAAGATAAATTTCACTAAAATGGCTAATTATTGGGTTTACTATCCCGTTTTGCATCATAAAGTTTGTAAGTGTGCTGTACAGCTTGCTTTAGTTGCTTAAAAGTCGACCCTGTACTTGAAACGAACCTGAGTTTACAATGCACAGATAGAAAAATCCGATGAAGCTTTTGTTGCTGAAAAATGTGGAACTACAATGGTAACTATATAATTAGGGAATAGGACGAAAATCTATATAATAAAACAAGACATTCTTATATATGTTGCGTATAGCCAAGTAAACGGCTGGACCGATTGGGCTGAAATTTGTTTTTGACACTCATGGGTGGCCGAGTTGAGTTATTGGCTAAAAAATGTTTTTTTTTAATTCTAAATTTTTTTTCTTTCATTTTTTTCCACGGGCAAGATATAATTTAAAATAGTCTACTGAACATTAAGCACATCAATTGTGCACTTTACAGTGTACACAGAACACTCTTTACTTTATTTTATTAAATATATTAGGTTTCAACTGCTACTCATAAAACACATAGCTTTAAAAACTGCATCAAATATTAGCTATTCCTATTCCATAGTTGTATGGGGCGACTGTAAACATCAAATATTAGCTAAATATCGTCTTCCTATTCCATAGTTGTATGGGGCGACTGTAAACATCAAATCTTAGCTAAATATCGTCTTCCTATTCCATAGTTGAATGGGGCGACTGTAAACATCAAATATTAGCTAAATATCGTCTTCCTATTCCATAGTTGTATGGGGCGACTGTAAACAACTTAAACCCTTAAACAAAGCGAACTTTTTTTCCAAAGAACCGTCTTGATCAAAATAGAAACAATAAGTTTTCAAGTTAAACAAAATACTATTTCATTAACCTTATCTCGGTTGGACTATTTTGTCCATTACAGGTTTGGGGGGGGGGGGGCCCCCTTTGATTAAAAATAAAAACACTAGGTTTAACAAAACTAGTTAAAAAAAATGCCATGCCATTAATGATCAAAATAATACAAGTGTTCAAATTAACAAATATTGCTATGTGCGCAAACAATAAAAACAGATAAAATTGCGTTTTCCATAAAAATAAATTTCATAAAAATATCTTGAATGAAAAACGCTGATTGGGAATGCAGCAGAGAGTAAATTAGATCATTTTGAATAAGATTTGATGAATTCAATAAAAATAAAGTTTGATTTTGTCATAATTAAGTTTAATCAAATTTTCAAAATGTTTAAGTAAGATTTCTAATAAGTGTGAAAACGATATTACATAGGTTTACCTTAGATATTTTACAAGTTTGAATAAGATTTTCAATATGGTTGAAAAAGATTTTTGATAAACTAGAATAAGATCTGATAAGTTTTATTAAGACATAAGATAAGTTTAAATAAGATATGTAATAAGTTTGAATATAATATTTTATTAGTCTGAAAAAGATATTTGTTAAGTTGTTAAGTTATAAGCTTATGTTATTAAGATATTTAAGAATTAATCTAAATCAGATATATTATAAAGGAAATATGTTAAAAAGAAAGCCCTTCGCTCATATATATGTTAGCTATAGCTGGCCAAACGGCTGAACCGAATTGGCTTTTTTTTAGGAAACTCATGGGTACCCTGAGGGTGAGATAGGCAACAAATTTCTTTTTTATCGGTGTTTTTTAAATTACGCGGGCAACGCCCAGCTACTGTTAGATAAGTTTGAATAAGAAATTTGTTGAGGTCTGCTCCTGACTTGAATAGTCCAGGCTGAGAATTGCTGAACTCGACATTTATCTGAATCCAATTCAGGAGTTTCCATATTTACATCCTCTACAGGCCAATTTAATTTATAACAACGATTTTATAAAAGTTTAAGTTTTCAGCTCGTATTTACCTTGGTACCTTCTCATCCAAGAACAAAAGGAAAACGGGAAAGTGGAATTGTTTTTGTCAAGGGGGGGGGGGGTGATGCGAAACAAGTTGCAATCAAAAAAGTAAAAATTTGTAGTAAAAGGTTATATAGAGTTTAAAAAATAAGAATTTAAAATGAGAAATCCATTTACGAAGGACTGTAGTCATATCTTTAGGGCACCCTCTATTTAAAAAAGTTGCATATGCTAGAATCACAACGGTACACTTGAACCTTTATCTGACCAATATTGTGGAAAACTGTAGCTTGTTTAATTCTGATCAATTTTTCATTGTTTCTAAAGCTAGAACTGTGCAAGTCATGCTTTTGCAGAGAGACCACGATTTAAAAATAAATAGTTTAAAACAAAACATGGATTTTTCATTCATACTTGATCAGACAAAGGTTTGTGGATCGAACATTCTACTCCATGAATTGACCAGGCCTCTCACCAATTATTTTACCTAACCTCACCCTGTTATTTTACCTAACCTCACCCTGTTATTTTACCTAACCTCACCCTGTTATTTTACCTAACCTCACCCTGTTATTTTACCTAACCTCACCCTGTTATTTTACCTAACGAGCATTTCTTGAGGTTGGATTGAGCACAGGATTTCATGATGGTATGTCCTATCTCAGTAGAGCCAGTGAATCCAAGCTTCCTGGAAAATTCAAAACCATTAGTATTTCGCCAAAACGCAATCTTTTAAAGGTGCTGGGCGTATTCCTATGTTGATTCTAGATCCAATGAAATTAATTGAAGTGATAACATTATCATATTTAAACCTGTATCTGGAACATGATCATATTTAAACCTGTATCTGGAACATTATCATATTTGAACCTGTATCTGGAACATTATCATATTTAAACCTGTATCTGGAACATTACATATTTCAAATTAATTTTATAGTACCCTTAAAACCTTTATCTGATAAATAATGTGGAAGATATCTTCGTTTTCCTAGGTTTAAAGGTGTTTTATTTTGATAATTCTTATACGTTATCTTGAAGTAAAAATGTACAAGTCACCTTTGTAGCGAAATCACAATTGAAAATAATCAGTTTTCTAAGTTTTAAACATTGACAAATTATAAACAAACTCGTACTTGATTCTACAAAACTTTTTAGGGTACCGTTGTGAATCGAGCTGTGTCACCTTTGCACAGAGAATCACTTAAGATTATGCATATAGTCCCTTTAACGAAAATTTTAGGTAATTTTATGTTGAGTGTCCAGTGGACCTCTTCTTTCTGAAAAAGAGCAACCTCCCTTGTCTATCTATTATCTAGGATTTTTATAGAGCTGTTTATTCAAATCAGCATACGTTTAAAATGTTGATAACAAGGATTATATAGGACGCCACACATAACAAATGCACTCTTTAATGTAGGTTTTCCTCAAATTACATTGACAATAATGTTAAAACTTTGTTTCAGAACTATATCTAGCAAAAATAAATTTAACGTTTTCATTTTAAAGACAATTTTTATTTGGCATTGCAAACAGAATTCTCTTACAGTTAATACAATTCATTCATTCTTTGAATTCTTGAAATTTAGAAATACATGAATGCTCATAACTTTAAAGTTCTAATATCAAAAGGAATTGAGTCTTTGCCACACAATTTGTAATCCATACATCTTTGCAACCAGATAGATCATACCTTCAAAACTTAAAATATTTAATGTAACATGATTCGTAGTTTGAAAAATCAAAGGTCTACGACATTGGATTCGCGGCAAAGACGTTACTTCTTAAAAGAAAAATACTTTTTAAAAACAAATTATACAAAACTTCCATAGTAATTTGGAAATCCATCATGTGGAAACAAATTATACAAAACTTCTATAGTATTTTGGAAATCCATCATGTGGAAACAAATTATACAAAACTTCCATAGTATTTTGGAAATCCACCAGTGGAAACAAATTATACAAAACTTCCATAGTATTTTGGAAATCCACCAGTGGAAACAAATTATACAAAACTTCCATAGTATTTTGGAAATCCACCAGTGGAAACAAATAATACAAAACTTCCATAGTATTTTGGAAATCCACCAGTGGAAACAAATTATACAAAACTTCCATAGTATTTTGGAAATCCATCATGTGGAAACAAAAAATCTGGTAAATTGGAAATTGTTATTTTTCTTTCAATGTATAATATGATATTCTTCTATAGTTGAATTAATATAGAACCCTGGGTTTCCTGGTTCTAAGTCTCTTGGGAGAATTCGAAAAGTTTAACTTGCAATTTAAAATTTTAAATTCGTGCACATTTCCTCCTGTTTCTATTTACTTTTATGAAAGAAGAATTTACACAGAAAGTAGAAAATTAAATTATCTTTATTTTACAAAGCAATCATTAGTTCTACTTTTGAGAAAAAAGAACACAAAATAGACAATACACCACACTTCACGTGTTATCAAGAACAGATTAAACTTATGTAAATGTTCATAACTGATCAAGCATGAATTATATATCCATGTTTTTGTTTTTTAAAACTATTTGTTTTCATATACGGGTTCTCTGCAAAAGTGACTTGCGCATTTCTTGCATATAAGAATCAAGAAGAAAATTAAACACTTTTCAAGTCAGGAAAACGACAGTGTCTTTCACTTTCTTGATTTTCAAGGGTAAATCATCTTTGCATATACAATAAATACGCTTACAGTCCCTTTAAATAGAAAGATTTCCAACTGTTTGAAGTTTTGTTGAGAAACTAATAAAATAGATAATATCAATCAACCACTTCATTTTGCAAGTAAAGCGGTTTTCTTTGATGATTAAATTTCAAGGTTTTACCTTCTAAACCCGATATAGCTTTAAAAATAAGAAAAAAACTGACAATCTCAAACTCCTGATATCTTTGCAATCTGTAAACCCTTGATTTTCAATCTTTGGCTCTTTGAACTATAGCAGAAGTCATATAAACTGAGATATCAAATTTCTACATCAGGTAACAAAGAAATATCTAAAAAAATAGTTTTGGGAAGCGTTATCCATTGATTTAAATTGTACAAAATTTTATTTAGTGTCGAATCGATCTTAGATAATCTAATGTACAAAATGTTTCAGAGAGCTTTCGTTTGAGCTGAGAGGCAAATACCAGACTTGTGTCGTGTTGGAGAATGCATAATTGGCAAATCAAACTCTCATCAAATTGGAACAATTCAGACATTTAGAACTTTACAAGGGAGCCTCAACAGAGCTGAAAACTTTTGAATGGAATATCCTTAATCCTGATTGGATAATTAATCTGGAGATTAAAAATGAGAGGAGAACAAGCAATATTTAATCTCGAGATTAAGAAAAAGAGTGGATTAAGCATTAATCCCGATATCCACCATTCTAAAGTTTTCAGCTCAGATCACAGAAATAAAACTTAACAATCTTCCTGCAAACTAAACAATATTGAAATTCCTGGCAAAGCCGAGTAGAGTAACCCTCTTTCTATTTTTAAACAGTCTTTGCCTGTCTGATTTTAAATCCCTATATCTTTGCAACATTATTTCGTACACCTTAGATCTTTCAAATTGTGAATTCTGTTCAATCAAATAATCTTTCAATTTACTCTAAAATAAAAAACACAATTTCTTTCACAATTAAAACAAATTCTAAAATCTTATAAATCAAAAAGAATTAAATGTTTGATTAAATGACTATGTCTTGTAGATTACAAATTTATCTGGTTACTGTAGGAGCTTGTCTGGAATGGGACGGAGTATTAGCTCTGTATCTGGTTACTGTAGGAGCTTGTCTGGAATGGGAAAGAGTATTGATTCTGTATCTGGTTACTGTAGGATAATGTCTGGAATGGGAAGGAGTATTGGTTCTGTATCTGGTTACTGTAGGAGCTTGTCTGGAATAAGAAGGAGTATTGGTTCTGTATCTGGTTACTGCAGAAGCTTGTCTGGAATGTGACGGAGTATTGGTTCTGTATCTGGTTACTGTAAGAGCTTGTCTGGAATGGGAAAAAGTATTGGTTCTGTATCTGGGTCTCTGTAGGAGCTTGTCTGGAATGGAAAGGAGTATTGGTTCTGTATCTGGGTGCACTGTAGCAGAATGTCTGGAATGGGAAGGAGTATTGGTTCTGTATCTGGGTCTCTGTAGGAGCTTGTCTGGAATGGAAAGGAGTATTGGTTCTGTATCTGGGTCTCTGTAGGAGCTTGTCTGGAATGGAAAGGAGTATTGGTTCTGTATCTGGGTCTCTGTAGAAGCTTGTCTGGAATGGAAAGGGGTATTGGTTCTGTATCTGGGTCTCTGTAGGAGCTTGTCTGGATTGGAAAGGAGTATTGGTTCTGTATCTGGGTCTCTGTAGAAGCTTGTCTGGAATGGAAAGGAGTATTGGTTCTGTATCTGGGTCTCTGTAGGAGCTTGTCTGGAATGGAAAGGAGTATTGGTTCTTTATCTGGGTCCTCTGTAGGAGCTTGTCTGGAACGGAGTATTGGAAAAAGTTATAAATTAGCCTTACAAGAACACACATAAAGGGAGCAGGATCCGGATACTCTACAACTAGGCAACAATAAAAACAATTTTAACCCAGCAAAACCAAATCCCTATATCTTTACATCGATAGTGGTGTAAATTTAAAATACAACTATTTGATCTGTTAGAATTCAAATTCATATTTTGAATTATATCAGATTTTAAAGATATAATTAGATTAGAAAATTAGAGTATAAGGCGAGTAACCATTTTTCGACACACAACTGTCTCACTTATTGGTTCGATGACTTCCACTGCACCAAATAGATTCTTGTTCAATAGATGGCAAAGCAGAATTTGTAAACTCTCAGTACAGCTGTATTCTGACGTCACAAGTGTCAATTCAGTTTTTGTGTTCGACAAAATTATTAATAATAGTGATAATTTTATAAGAAAAAAATGGGCTTATCTTACAGTAAAATAAGTGCAACTGCAATAAGTGTTTTGTCTATTTTCTGTTTTTACACTTTTTATTTCATCTTGGAAAACATGTCAACTAATGGGAGAAAACTTGTAATATTTGACACCTGTGACGTCGTGTAAAATTGATCCATTTCTCTGTTTTCACCTATTGTACCGGGATGAGCTCTAAATGATTTCAAATGATATTTTTTCTAATAATATGGAGGGAACCCAGGCTAGCGTGGGCAGATAAGGTTTAAACCTCAGTGTTCAGGGTAAAAAGTTGGGTGCAGTAAGATAAACAACGTGTTGTGCCGAGATAGTAAGCACTAAGCAGTTCATAATGTTTAAAGCTTTAAATTACAGTCTCTGGTCTTATCTAATATCTCGGTAAACTCCTCTCTTTACATAATACAACCACTGTTCCATTAATTCTAGACCCTCAACATTTATCTCCGCTCAGTAAAAATACATTTAAATATTTAGAAAATTATTATCAAATTAAACTCCGATAATTAAGATTTAATGCAGACCCGGATTTTTTGTTTTTACACTCTAACTAAAAAAGGCCCAACTATTTTGTTATAATGTTTCTTCTTCTGAAAATTGAATGACCCCCCCCCCTCCCTTTGTGAGGTCAAGGGGGCCGGGGGAGAGGGGAGAGGGTAGGGCTCAAGATCGAGCAAAGTCCCTTCCTTACATGAAAGCTGAAAACATACATGGTTCCAAGGGGGTATTATATGCCCCCTATTATTGAATTTTTTAAATCCAGATTTAGAACTACAGTTTTATCTGGGTTTCATTTGGTCTTCTGACAAGAATTGTTGTCGAATAGAAGTACTTAAATTAATTTACTATATAATCCATAAAGAAAGAAAGAAATTTGCAGTTCCAGGGAACAAGAATGTAAAGGAAAAGAGTGAATACATCTCTAAAAAATTGTTTATTAAGTCTTAATCTTTGATGGCAACCCAGTTACTACAATCCTGGTTTTAAAGACTGCAGTAAACACTTGTATTAAAATGTATTCCATCGAAAACTAAATTTATTTTATACAACCTTTACCATTGTAAAGCTAGGATCGAAATGGACTCCGACAATGAAATTGAAACCCCTGGATGAATTAGTGATGTATAAAGACTAGCTTTAAAGTGAAAAATAACAAAAATAATAAAATGCTTTGACTATTAGATATTCAAATGTTATAAATAAGATTTAATTGAAATAGTGATAAAAAAGTGAGGACAAAAAATGATACATCGGAGAAGAAAGCTTGGCGGAAATGATATGTTACGTTGTCTATATGAAACATTTTCTATACTAAACTTCTGACCTACCAACTTTCCGACCTACGACAGCCTTTTATTTTGTATTATTTGTGGGCTAGGTTAGGCTTAGACAATTTTTGGGCCGGGAGCTGCGGCTAGGACGGGCTAATGGACCAAGCGCTGCAGACGCATATGAAATTAGAAGCTTTAAACCCACGTGCGAGTGAGTCAGAGGTGTAGTTAGCGGATGTAGCGTAGGTCAGAATTGGAGTATAGTGGATGTGCGTAGGTCAAAAGAATGTTTCCATTCATATAATAATTATTGCAGAGCTATTGACAATGTTTTGAATTTTCATTATGTAACCGGATAATATTGCTGCACTTGCATACTTGTGCGTAAAATCTAAACTAGAGGTGCTACGTCATCCCGGACTAACCAAAGTGAGCAGCATTCGGTTTCTTCTATTTGAAATCAAACGTGTTTTGGTCTTTAATTCAACAATCTTTTACCGTAAGGATTTGTTTATGCTTTACTTTTTTCTTCAAAATGCATATGCCGACAAAAAAGTTTTTAAGATAAAAGTAAAAAAAATTGTGTTTAATGGGTCAAATTGATATCGAAAGTCACAGCTTTCGGGAATATTGACAGCACCGTTAAATCCACGGGACGAGGTCACAATGTCGGACCAGTAATGTCCCATGAATTTAATCTTCTCTCTAGTTTGCAGTGTCACCATGTTTCTCTCTTCTTGTACCCTAACCGTGTTAAATCAACAGATTGAAAACAAATTCTATAAAAATAATATCTTGACCAGGAAGGAAGCAAAGCCTAATAAATCTATCAAAATATAAAAAATAAAATTGGTTCCATCTAGAGAGAATAGAAACAAAACATGTTCTTTTGCAGAATATAAAAAGGAATGTTGACAGTGTGCGGAAAGGGAAAATTTATAATATGTCTGGGTCCTACTGATACAAATATTAAATTGGATGTTACTTTTCAACACATTTCTATTTAGGCAATGTTTATTTAAGAAATCTGTGTGCATATAACAGACAAAAAAACATTAAACATTATAATCGCTTTGATTTACTTTACATAGTACAGTTTAATACAATTACATATACTTTAATATAGTTCAATACAATTCCATACACTTTAATATAGTTCAATACAATTCCATATACTTTAATATAGTTAATTCCATATACTTTAATATAGTTCAATACAATTCCATATACTTTAATATAGTTCAATACAATTCCATACACTTTAATATAGTTCAATACAATTCCATACACTTTAATATAGTTCAATACAATTCCATATACTTTAATATAGTTCAATACAATTCCATACACTTTAATATAGTTTAATACAATTCCATACACTTTAACATATTTCAATACAATTCAATACACTTTAATATAGTTCAATACAATTCAATACACTTTAATATAGTTCAATACAATGCAATATACTTTAATATAGTTCAATACAATTCCATACACTTTAATATAGTTTAATACAATTCCATACACTTTAATATAGTTTAATACAATTCCATTCACTTTAATATAGTTCAATACAATTACATACACTTTAATATAGTTCAATACAATTTAGGACACTTTAATATAGTGCAATACAATTTAATACACTTCAATACAGTTTAATACAATGAAATTCATTTTAAATTAGTTCAATACAATTCAATGCACTTTAATACAGTTCAATACAATTAAATACACTTTTATACAGTTCAATACAATTCAATACAATTTACTATATTTCGATATAATTCAATACATTTAAATATAGTTTAATACAATTCAATACACTTTTATACAGTTCAATACAATTCAATACACTTTCATATAGTTCAATGCAATTACATAAACTTTAATATAGTTCAATACAATTCCATACACTTTAATATAGTTCAATACAATTCAATACACTTTTATACAGTTCAATACAATGCAATACACTTTATTTTAGTTCAATACAATTTAGTACAATAGAGCTCAATATAGTTCAATACAATTCAAAACACTTTAATACTGCTCAATATAGTTCTGTAAATGTTCTGTAGTTTAGAAAAGGAAAATATTTAAAATTTGTAAAGATGTAAACTGAATTATATACCAGGAGAAGAATAGATCCTAAATTCTTAGTAAACACAAAACTGTGTTTGACAAATTCACTTTCAACCAAATACTAGGATTGAGATGGGGATGAAGGGAACCTATGCGGGGGGTATAAAGACTAACGAATTTTGCTGTTATTAAAAATATTAGTTTATTCCAAAAAGTATATATTTGAATCCTGACTTGCAATACACAACATTAGTATTTCAACAGAAAATACAGGTTTATTTTAAAAGGAATGCTTGTACCACTTTTCCACTTTTAAATCCTCCAGTTTAAATCTTAATAACCTTTTTGTTTATATGCCAGACTTTAAACTGAGATCTATTTTCTTAAAACCCATTAAAAAAATATAATTTCTCTTTTTTATGGAGGTTGCGGAGTTTATCGCTCAATTATGGAAATTAAATATAAATTTTTTTTAAAAAGGGGGATGAGAGCAAGAAATTGAGTCTTTTTCATAAATTCTAATTCTAATCCATATTTCTCTGCACTGCAACCTAATATCGTACCCAGTACCATATTTAGATCAAGATTAAAATATAAAAGGTTTATATCTTTAGGTTGGAAAGATATAGGGATCAAAAGATTTTAGCTTATAGCAAAGACTCAATTCTTTAGTCCAATTTTTAATCTTCTAAAACCCTATCCTTCTACTCCAGTACAAAAGAACTCTGTATGGTCTTGTTTCTATTATCCTTATTAGCATTCTTAACTTTTACAGAATAAACCTATGTTAAATTCTTGATGTTGCTCTTTCCTTTAAAATTAACGCTGACTTTCCCTTTAAGATGTTCTGATCTGATTTGTCATTGATTTCTTGAGAGAAATCTCAAAGAACTAATCTGCTGAATTTGTAAAGAAAAGGATTTGAATAAATGAATATTCAGAAGAAAATGCAATCTAGAGAACTCCATTAATAAAACTTAATTTCTAAAAACAACACCTTTCATCTTTCCGCAAACTATATATATCTTCTTTTATATATGTAACGCTGTAATCTCTGTTTGCCTCTTTGTATTTCCGATCATAACGCATGACCCATTGACCAATTTGCCTCAGATTTAGATTGCATAACTCGGAGGAACCACAGGAATGTTCTTAGTTTTGTTTTGAGATTCTAAATTGAAGGGGAAATAGCTGACATCGTAATTTAGGACCAAGTGCGGGTAAACGGTCGAAGTAATTATGAGATACCTGGGCAACGCTGGGTTCCCAAGCTTGTATCTATATGAATATCAAATATATACTGAAAAAATACAACATTTCGGTGTTAAAAATGTGTGAAAAATGTATTTGAAAATATTAAAATAAACAAGTATTTGCAAATTGAAAAGGAATTATATTTAGAGCTTAAGGACACAAACAGGGGTGGGGGGCCCAGAATATCTGGACCCCCCCCCCCCAGCTGAGGTTCTCAGTTCGTTCGATTAAGAAGTTAGAATAAATAATTCATCCCCCCCCCCCACATCCCTCCTAGTAATTCACTCTAACTTACACTGATGCCACGAACAAGCTCTTCTCTTTTAGAGACGAGGAGATCTTAAAATACGGAAATACACAATATTCAGAGGCTTATTTTGTAAAGGGGGAGGGAAGGGGGGAGGGGGGCTGAATCTTTTTTGACATTCCAGATTGTTAACAATATAGATATATACTAAGAACAATTAAGCCAACTACAGCTAAATTCAGGTGTGCTTATTTATCACATTGTTTCTGTTTACAAATTATGGCGATCCATTTATGATCCAAAAATGGTAAAATCTTAAAAAGTATCGCATACCCCCCCCCTCGCCTGTTTTTAATATATTTACTATAAAAAGTAAAACAGAAAAAACTATCAAAAACTTTCTGAACAACACCTTTGGTTTTGCATTGTTTTCGGGTCGATTTTTCTGTGTCATATATTTGACATATTTAGTAGTAGAAAAACAAATGTTTAAAATAAATAATTTAAAAAACATTTGCTGTTCTTATACCAAGCCAAATTTTTAAATTCTGAAAGAAAATATAAGCAAAAATACTACTCAAGAATAAATTCCAAATATGTTCATGAGGAGTCTAGTCTGACGCAACAATCTAGTAGTTTCGTGGGATTTAACTCTTTAAAAGCTTAAGCTAGAAACAAGCGTGTTGCATTTTAGTGAGGTTTAACCAAAGGTCAAGGCGTTGTGACACTTTTAAGTCGAGGCTGTCTAATAATTTGACGACTAAATAGATATCTAGATCAATGAGAGGCTGGATATCTGGTTCCAATCATGATCTTAGACCGTTCAAACAACACTAGAATTATACTTTGATCGCACAAAAAATACCTGACAAGTGGATGATCAGCGATTGCCTGGCCGGTCACTGATCCATTCCCAGGTAGTACATTAATGACCCCTGGAGGGAAACCAGCCAACAGGGTCAGCTCAGCAAACTTCAAAGCTGTTAGAGGAGATACCTAGCGAACAGATTTGGAATTTGGAAACAATGAATCAGCATTCAAGTTCAAAGTAAATTGTAGCAAAGTAAAATATCGTCTACGGTATCTGGTCAATAAAGATATCCACCGACAACTAGATAATATTCTGTATTTCACTTGGTCTCTGCTATTAAACAGTTTTGACAAACTAATTGCGAGGGAGGTATTAAGTCTTTGCAACAAACTCTAATATTCTAATGCCTATATGTTTGCAGCCAAATGTCGCAGACCTAAGATAATTCAAATTATGATTTCTGTCAGAAGATATGATCTAAGTTTGAAATAATAAAGGTTCACATATTCAAGTTGCAAAGATATATGGTTTGGAACATTTGAGTTTGTGGTTGAGACTTATTTCCTTTGCCAAAAAAAGATTGGGAATAGAGGACAAACATAGCAATAAAACTTTTTGAAAATAATTATTATAATACCTTTGCTTTTTAAAATAAGAGCCCGGCAAATTGGTTAATAGTTTCCCTCCTGACCTGTGCAGGTTTTATAACAACAGTATTTCCAGCAGCTAAACAAGCAGCCATCTTCCAGGAGAGCATCATTAGAGGATAATTCCAGGGGGTAACAAGACCACATACTCCTAGATTAGCGGGTAAATAGACCACATACTCCTAGATTAGCGGGTATATAGACCACATACTCCTAAATCAGGTTTTTTACACCACATACTCCTGTATTAGGGGCTATATAGACCACATAATCCAAGATCAGGGAGTATATAGACCACATACTCCTAGATTAGCGGTATATAGACCACATGCTCCTAAATCAGGATTTTTAGACCACATACTCCTATATTAGGGGGTATATGGACCACATAATCCAAGATCAGGGAGTATATAGAGCACGTACTCCTATATTATGGGGTATATAGCTAGACTTCAAGGTTCTAGATTGTGGGCTATATAGACCACATACTCTTAGATTAGGGGCTATATTGATCACATACTCCTAGATTAGAGGCTATATAGATCACATACTTCTAGATTAGGGGCTTTAAAGACCACATACTCGTATATCAGGGGTATATAGACCACATACTCCTATATCAGGGCCTATATAGATCACATACTCCTAGATTAGGGCTATATAGATCACATACTCCTATATTAGGGGCTATATAGACCACATAATCCAAGATCAGGGGTATATGTATCACATACTCTTATATTATTGGGTATATAGCTAGACTTAATAGTCCTAGATTATGGGCTATATAGACCACATACTATTAGATTAGGGGCTATATGGATCACATACTCCTAGATTAGGGGGTATATAGACCACATAATCCAAGATCAGGGGTATATGGATCACATACTCTTATATTATGGGGTATATAGCTAGACTTAATAGTCCTAGATTATGGGCTATATAGACCACATACTTTTAGATTAGGGGCTATATAGATCAAATACTTCTATATTAGTGCCTATATGGATCACATACTCCTAGATTAGGGGCTAAATAGATCACATAATCCTAGATTAGGGGCTATATAGATCACATACTTCTAGATTAGGGGCTATATAAACCACATACTCCTAACTCAGGGCCTATATAGATCACATACTCCTAGATTAGGTGCTATCAAGACCACATACTCCTAGATTAGGGTGTACATAGACAAACAAACTCCTAGATTAGGGGGTTTATAGACCACATACTACTAAATTAGGGGTTATATTGACTATATACTCCTAGATTAGGGGAGATGATACATATACAGCATATTTTAGATTTCTGTGAAAGTTTTATGTTTTCCTTTGCAAATTTAAATACACTTGAGTGTACTTAATTCAATTATAATCCGCTGTAAGTGCTATTTTTAGAAAGTGTAGAATAATTAAATTCAAATTGGGATTTTAATTTTTTCAAGATTAACTATTTAGTTTTTAAACATGTCCTTATTTAAGAAAAAAAAATATATATTCATTTATAAAAAAATTGCAAAAATTACAAAAATATATATACATAATATAATCAGATTTGAACAATTATTTCAAATTTAACAAATAAACAAATTAAAGTTTTGAAGTCGGTATTCCTGGGTATTAGGACACTGTATAATAAATATCTTCATTTAGGCCAATTTTGAACATGATATGATTTTAGACTTGAAAAAAGCATTTGACTGGAGGAAATGTTGTTTACAAAAAAAATGGCTGAAGTTTTGTGAGTATTGCTGAGTATGCAGAGCAATATGTTAGTATACAATGGTATGGGGTTTCAGGTATATTGGTCGGCATTTATATCAATACAATAAAGACGATTTTTTGGTCTAAGTATTGATTTCTAACAAGTTTTTTTCAAATTACAAGAAAACAGAGAGAAGCTGTAAACCGTCAACTTCTTTTTGTTTCCATATCTATGTGTATTCATGCTTTTTGAAAGCTTGGTAGAAAAAAAGTTGAAAGTCGTCTTCATTGTATTGATGTTTACGACAATGTCTGTATAGTTTACCTATTGGTTCCTTCTTAGTTATACACAAGTTTCTGTTGGGCCGAGCATTATTGATGGGAATTGTACTGCCCTCAATCTTAAACAAAAAGTTCAACATATAAATATGCAAAAACTTGAATTTTTTATCTTTTTCATTTAAAAGAACAGAAGACCAACGACAAGGTACAACCAAATTACACCAAAATAAAAGGGGAAAAAAAGAACTTTAAGTTTCTTGCACTTTCAGGGAAAAATCATTAATGAGAAGAAATACCCATGATGGACACCTTTGCCTGATCAATAATGTTGAAAATATTGTAGTTTTCTAGGTTTCAATAATGTTGAAAATATTGTTGTTTTCTAGGTTTCAATAATGTTAAAAATATTGTAGTTTTCTAGGTTTCAATAATGTTGAAAATATTGTAGTTTTCTAGGTGTCAATAATGTTAAAAATATTGTAGTTTTCTAGGTTTCAATAATGTTGAAAATATAGTAGTTTTCTAGGTTTCAATAATGTTGTAAATATTGTAGTTTTCTAGGTGTCAATAATGTTAAAAATATTGTAGTTTTCTAGGTTTCAATAATGTTGAAAATATTGTAGATTTCTAGGTTTCAATAATGTTAAAAATGTTGTAGTTTTCTAGGTTTCAATAATGTTGAAAATATTGTAGTTTTCTAGGTTTCAATAATGTTGAAAATATAGTAGTTTTCTAGGTTTCAATAATGTTGAAAATATTGTAGTTTTCTAGGTGTCAATACTGTTGAAAATATTGTAATTTTCTAGGTTTCAATAATGTTGAAAATATTGTAGTTTTCTAGGTTTCAATAATGTTGAAAATATTGTAGTTTTCTAGGTTTCAATAATGTTGAAAATATAGTAGTTTTCTAGGTTTCAATAATGTTGAAAATATTGTAGTTTTCTAGGTTTCAATAATGTTGAAAATATAGTAGTTTTCTAGGCTTCAATAATGTTGAAAATGTTGTAGTTTTCTAGGTTTCAATAATGTTGAAAATATTGTAGTTTTCTAGGTGTCAATAATGAATAATGTCACTTTGAAATTATGCTTACAGCCCCCTTTCGTATTTTTTTTTTTTTTTAATAAATACTCAAACTTGAAATTTACCTTGTCGCACCATCCAGCAAAATATCTCCAGGTATCAATGGACATACCGACATGAGTTTTCAGAGCCAAGGTGTAAACAGCACCGGAGTCTGAACAGGGTGTTCAAATAAACACTTATAAGAGATAGTTTCTCATAATTTTTTCGAATTTGAAAGTCTTGAAGTAAACGGTCAAGAGAGACATAAACCAGAAAAGTAAGCTGATAATACTTTAAACAAGGCACAGGAAATTTATTTGTAGAGAATGCGAATTCATATCTTACAAGAACACCTAGTGTCGTGATGTGTACAATGTTTGTTCGTTTTTGAACTTTTAAAAGGTTCAACAAAAATCTGAGAATTTCAAAAACGTCAAAATTGTTTATTCTAAACATTTTCTTTTCTTGCCTTCCGCCAAATTTTGACACTGAGGAAAAAATATTGCAAAGTTCAATAAAGCAAACTTGATCAAAATACATTTTTGAAATGTGGAAAATTTTTATCAAAAATTGACTAAAACAATAAACAATGGACAACTAAAAGTACCTATACTCTCTATGGTGGCGAGCTCCTCTTTGTGTTCCTCCATGAGGTCTGCCAACTTCATGAGGAGACTCCCCCGGTCCCGAGCATTCATTCTACCCCAGTCCCCGTCCTGTGCAAATTTAAAAGTTTACCAGAAGATCAACTTGTTTTTCTTGTTAATTTAAATCAAATGCCACACTTTGCAAAATGTAAACAAAGAAAACTTTTTTAAAAGTGCTGTAAAGATGAGAATAAAGGATCAAAAAGAATTGCAAACAGTGATTGGTGTTTTTTTACCTTGAAGGCTCTATATGCTGCTTTACAGGCACGATCAACATCTCCAGCTGAAGCACACTCAACCTAAAAAAATGAACCGATAGGAACACAGGAAATCTGATAGGCTGAAAGGAAATCTGACAAGGTTTGTTTCAACCAATAGGATGACAGGAAATTTGACAAGGTTTGTTAAAACCAATAGGAGGCAAGGAAATCTGAGAATTAAGAATGTAAGTTAAAAAGAATGAGATACTTATTCATGAAACGTAGCTAAGCTAGAAAAAAAATTAAGGTTAAAATAACAACGTTGCAAGAATAAATGCTGATGAAATTTAAGAAAATATTTTTTCAAATCATCCAACTACTTTAAAACAGCTTTACTGCTGAAAGAGATTGTACTAAAAATAATTGATAATTCGCATATTCGTTAAATATATGCTATTTTTTTTCTAGTTCTTAAAAAGATTGTTTTTTCCCCTAAAGCTATTAAGTATTTTTTGTTTCATTAAGAAGGAGGTTTAAGATGAAAAAAATCATTATTTTCACTTTTAAATTTTGCCATCAAAAACATTGTAAACGTTTATACTTGGAACCCACTAATCTATGGTAAAGGAAGACGATTGAGTAAAAAAAAATATTTTAACCAGTTGCTTTAAAATCATCTTCATAAGTAAAATGGATCTGTACTATGCACAGAGTTCTCTTTGCTGTGAGACATGTTTTTTATAGATCCAATTTAAACCTATAATTTAAATCTAACAATGATCTTATTATTCCATAGGTTTATGAGTCACACTTTACTTAATCTTAAATCTGTGGTTCCCGAAGAAGACAGAATAGATTAGTTTTAAACTCTTATGAAATGTTTTAGTTCGAAATAAAAAGAAATTTAGTTTCTTCAAAAAGAGAATCCTCTGTATTCAGAAAAAAAACATGTCTAACCATAATTTTATTTTTCCCTAAATAAAAATTATTGTTTCAAGGTGAGGAGTGTACTTAAAGAAAGAAACGAAAATTATTAATGATCTAGGGAAAAATAGCGTGGGAAAATTTTACCATAATTCCAGCCTTTCATAAAATCTGCACAATTTATCCATTTTCTTCAATAATTGAAACGAAATATTAAAATATTAAAATCAATTCTGGAAATTGGAAAAGACCGAGGATCGCAGATGTTCAATCATGTTTTTGATTTTACGGAAATAAAAATGCAAACATGTTTTGGCCTTTGTTGTTTCTGTTGATATAAATAAGATAAGATGAGATAAGATAAGATAAGAAGAAGGGAGGATCTGAAAACCCCCCATCTTGGAGAGCCCAGACCGCCATCGGGGCTAAATACATTGTTGATGCAACAATAAACTGAAAGTTACGACAATTATATGAAAATATATCGTTAACGAACACTATAGATATATATCGCTAACAAACACTATAGATATATATCATTAACGAACACTATAGATATATAGCTTTAGAACACTATTGATATATAGCTATCGAACAATATAGATATATATCGTTAACGAACACTATAGATATATATATCGTTAACGAACACTATAGTGTATATCGCTAACGAACAATATAGATATATATCGTTAACGAACACTACAGATATATATTGCTAACGAACACTAGATATATATCGCTAACGAACACTATAGATATATATTGCTAACGAACACTATAGATATATATATATCGCTAACAAACACTATAAATTACATACAATTAATACTGATAAGTAATAATAATAGTAAGAAATAATAATAATTATATAATATTTGTATATCTGATGATATAAATAATAATTATAAATAAAAAAAAATAAAAAAAAAATAATAACAATAATAATAATATAATAATTATCATTTATGGACAGTTTAAAGGATTGTAGATAACAAAATGAAATAATTTTGAGCAATCAATACCTCACAAATAAGAGACTCGTCATGAGGATTAATAGATCTAAGCTTCTTGTTATTTGTAGCATTGCAGAACTCCCCGTCAATAAAGAGCTGGGTGGGGAAACTGATCTCCATCTTGTTTATGCTCATCTTCATAGTTGGGTACTCTACTCACAAATATAGAGGTTTAGTACAAAGTACACAATATATACTTATGTACTTTACTCAGAAATATTGAGGTTTAGTACATACTACATAGTACATAGCACATAATGCATACTATTGTACATTACTCAAAAATGTCTAGGTTTAGTACATAGTACACAATAAATACTTGTGCACTCGATTAGAAATATCTTGGTTTAGTAATAAGTGCATAGTACACATAGAGAAATAGTACATAGTACACAATATTACTATTAGTGTATGCTGCTTAGTAATATAAAGGTTTACTTTATACATAGTACACAATATATACTTGTGTATCTTATATAAACATTAAAAATTATAATAATTCAGAAAAAATAGGAATATTACACAAGTCTCTCAAGTCTTCTTTATTAGTATATATTAAGAAAAAAAATTAAATACAAGAATTTTATTCTTTTCGTTAGATAGCTTTGTGTTCAGTATCCAGTCTGATAATATTGATAAAGTATAGAATATTGGCACCTTTTGTCTTTAATCACATTATAAGATATTTCATCAAAATATTTTATCATATTAATCTTTTTTAAATAATTTCAATATAATTTCTCTGTAAGATATATACCTTGTAATTTCTTCCCTCCTCCTCCTCTAAGCTTGAGAACTACGAGGTTGCAAAATTCCGAAAACTTCGCAAATATTCAAATTTGAGCCAGATAATTAAATGAATTACAATACCAAAACGTGCCTCTAACTAAAAAGGTTAACATATAAAAAAAAGGTTTTAATTTTGATATTTTCCTTAGTAGCCATAAACACCTCTTCGTTCACAACTCCAACACCTGACACCTCTTTAACCTAAATATCAACAAAAAATTATTTAACATGAATTCCTAGAATTTTTTTTATCCAAATTACCTACTATTGTTATAAATTTTATCCCATACCTCTTCCACAAGTCTTACAACATCCATTGAACCAGCTCCGGCTCCGAAGAAATCTGTGTCAGCTAAAACATCTGTTTTCAAGATGGCCGACCAAACACCGCGGATTTTCTCCAAAATGGCGGCCTCCTCATCAGACGGTTGAATCACCTCCTCTTCTCCAGACTCTTGACCATAGGTCTCTGCTTTTCGGAACTTACCCTCTATCTGTAAATCAAACATTTTAGAATATTTTCCTTTTTATTTTATTTTTTGAAAACTTTACCTGAAGCATTTTGACAAGAAGCCACTTTTTATCCGTTCCTTGTATCATGAGACCATCCCTGTACAAAATTATAACAATTTGGTTTCATGGTCTGTGGCCTGTAAATTGTTGAAAAATAGAGTAATGACTTAAAATGTTATGACCAAATAGTAATATTTTTCTTTACTTTACACCATTATCATTCTAGCAAAAAATTTTCATGGTGTCAATTTATTGGAAAGAAGTGATTGTAAATGTAATAAATAAAAACATATCTACAAAAATAATAATTAATTCAGTTCCCCGCTGCAGTAATTGTGTTGCTAGTTCCACCGTTATTTAAATGTAGAAGGGATTTCATACATAGTAATATGGGTGGGCAATGTCCAACCTTTAAATTGTCAAATCTTAAAGAGGTCTTAATCTTTGTGGTACTGTGCGTGACCCCAAAATAGTTTAAAACAGTTATTGAACAATCTCAACCAAACTTGGAAAAAATACAGATTGACACTTCAGGATATATAATTCAATAATAATGTCATTATCATCAGTCCAAGGATGTGCTGGGTTGGTGATGTCTAGATTTAAAAAGATTTAAAAAAGAAAGATACTATGATGACCTTACATTTATAGAACCCATCTAAACTAAATTCCACTAAATTACCATCAAGTATCAATGAAAAAAAAACTATTAAATAAAATAAAATTAAAATTGACAAAATTGTCTGACACGAAGCGCCAGCACTTGTTATCTAATGGATGGCTTAACAATATCATTTTCAATTTACCTTGTAATCCTAGCATCTGCTGCACCATCAAGGTTCACCTTTACACCATCTTCAATTTACCTTGTAATCCTAGCATCTGCTGCACCATCAAGGTTCACCTTTACACCATCTTCAACCTAATTAAAGGGACTGTTAACTTTTTTATATTTTTCAGAAAATGTCACAATGCGTTTTTTACAGAAAAAGGTTTAAATAATTAAATTGAAGCTTAGCAATATGAATTTAGAGAAAAAAACAGCACAGTAAGTCTGTTTCTATCGAACGAAAGCGAAAAAAGCAATAAATGCGAAATTTTTTGTTTGTAATTCGTAAATTGGTTTGCGAAATTTAGCATTTTTACGCAAAAATTAAATAATCGAAAAAAAGCGAAAAAAATATTTCGCAAAAAAACTTATGGAATTCTCTGCTCTGAGGGCTCAGCATTAGAAGTTTTATTGTACCATAATTAATAATTTCTCTTCCTTTACTGTAATAAATTGTTGATGAAGGAAATTTTGACTAAAAGAATTTTGTTCGTGAAATTTTCGCATTTTTTTAAAATGAAATTTTCGCGAAATTTTCGAACTTCTTATTTCGCAAAAATTTCGCATTTTTTCTCTAAACAGATTAAAGCGAAATTTTCGCGAAACGATTTCCCCCAAACCCTAAGCAGAGTACACTGAGAACCAGAAAATGGGGTATGAATGTTATCTTTGTTTTTCCTTTTACTAAATGTCGCTAACGAAATAATAATTTACAATTTATGTATAAGTTATATCGTTTGAATTGCGGATATCGAGATCATGATGCTTGATCTCTGAGCTGGGAACTTTTGTGTTGGATATACTCATATAAACCAGATCGCTTATTCAAACCCCGGACTGGGTATACGATTACCATGCGGGATATTAAATAAAGATCAAATTAATCTGCAGATTAACAAAATATGGAGATCAAGCAGTGAACTCGATATCCACAAGTTCCCAACTCATGCCACATTTTTAAGAACAGTTGCAACTGTTAAATCTCTAAAAATTTTGAAGAATAATTAAGTTTGAATTGTTGTAAAATACAATCTCAAAAACAAGAATTCAAAATTAAAAAGAAAAGAAGATTACGATAACTCCAGTGTTTTCTGATTCTCACTGTACATGAATTATGTATCTATTGTATTTTATAGATAAGAGTCTACTCTGAGCCTGAAACTTAAGACAGAGTATCGTTATGAAACCAAGTATTGGAAACCAGGTTTCTGGAAGTTTTTATATCAATATTTTGTCAAGAAATATTTTCTAGTTTATTGTAGTCTCTCTTTGTTTTATGATTCATTATATTAAAATCTACGTAAATATTATATAAACTAAAATCTACGTAAATATTATAAACCGCAGTTTCGTTCAACTTTACTCTCTCTAGAGTTTCTCGTCTGTACATCTGTGGGATATTGGCTAAATATTGGTTTAAAAATAAAATAAAGTTTCAACGTGTGTAAAACTATCAAGTAAAGAAAGTTGTAAAGAACATAAAGACTTGTTTTCCTCCATCTAAAAGGATGACTTCAGAATATCTTCTCTCAATTCAATTCTTTCAGTCTTTGTCACAACCTTAAATTTTCTAATCCTTAATTCCTTAGATTCGGTTGCAATGTGATAGGGATTAGAAACTTTGAGTTTGTGTCAAAGGCTCAATTTCTTATGTGGGAGAAAAAATGACCTTCAGGAAATGCAGAAAAATGGAATTGGTAACAAAAGCCCTCTCCTGTTCTTCTCCATCTGGTGCGTTTCAGCAGTTGGGTGCAGAAATGGACATAATATCTTTCAATTTATAAATATTCTACACAACCTGTAAATGCCAGAGTTTAGAATTGAAGAGTTTAGTTTGCTTGGAGTCCAGTGTAGCCCAGGCTCCAGGACTGGAGTCCAGTCCACGAATAAAATTGTGGATTTGCTTCGCGGGCTGGTCAAACTTCACCTGCAGATACGATGGTTAGAAATAGTAATATTATACAGTGCGACTCATAAAACTGTGCAAAAGGACTACGAAATTCAAGCAAATTGAAATAAGTGTTGTTTTTTCGGCCAATAAGTTAAACCAGTGTAACTCGAAAATCAGCTATTAAGTTAACATTAACAATTACGAGTTTGAGTAAAGAAACAAAAGTTTTATTTACATCTTTTTTTAGTTTTATTTCTTGTTTGTTTTTAATGTGTTATAAGTTATACCTGACATAACTCTGATTTGTTAAGAAATGCATCATAGGTAGCCCCGACCTCACACTGCTTTATGTTTGGTGCTCTACCCTACATAGTATACAATTAAGAGTTTTGTCTGTAAAACTAAAGTTAAAAACTAGTGCTTTATAGTTCTAAAATGTAAATGGTTACACAAAGTATTATTTGGTTAGAGGGGTAAAATAAAAGACAAAGGCGTTGTGACACTTTAATGTCGATCCAGTCTTAAAAATTGTTACAATTTTGCATAGCAACCTGGATCCAGTCTAATGGGTTGACCTAATGAAAAGAAAAACTGTTATTTTAACAAATTAAAGATTAGTAAAAAAAACGGTTGTGTTCTAAAATAACGGCGACTTTAGTTAATTTGTCTACTTAAAATTACGAAAAACTTAAACTTAAAGAAAATTGCAAAAAATCAATTTTATGCAAATTGATGTTTTATTACGTGTTTTAAGTTTTTGAATGTTGTTTTTAAATTTGCTATTTTTACATTGAATAATTGTTAACAGATGTCACTGTCACCATTTCTAAAATATTTTCCGTTAACGCCGTTTATATAATATAGATCGTTAATGAACAGCGACCTGAAAAGTTGCTTTTTAAAAGCTTTTGATCAACCGTTAACGAACGGCTTGAAAATAGTCTAAACGGGCCCAGCCATAGGCTAACCCCAGGGAGTAAGGAATAGAAGTGAGATATTACTGACGCGGTTCGCCCTACCATATGATTATACATGCTTTATACAGACGAAGTACTCCATTTGAATAAGAAATATTTAAATGTCGTCTTATGCACAATTACCACGTACATGTGTTCAGAAAAGGTCAATGAATACATTTAACAGGGAAAAAAGTATGCTGAACATCGCCAAATAAATTCATTTTTAAAGATGCAAAATTATTAGCAATACAAACGTATTTTCATATTAAATAAGATTGTTTTTATTTATTATGGTAAAGTAACTACATTTAAAAAAATTAAAAGACGACCTTTAAAAACCTCTTTTTCAAATGGAGTACTTCGTCTGTAAAGAATGTATAATCATATGGTAGGGCGAACCGCGTCAGTTATATCTCACTTCTATTCCTTACTCCCTGGCTATACTCTTAGAGTAATAGGGACTGAGAGAGGGGGGGGGGCGTCATCCCCCAGTTACTCCGTTGAATGAATGATTCCAAATCTTTTAAACAACTGACACAATGTTTAAATAATGTAGTTGACTATAAAAGGATTCTTGCAACAACCTAAAACGTTTGAATAATTGAAATAACTTAATGGAATGTTTCAATGTTAAAAAAAACCTTCCATTGCGATATATCAAGGGGTGGAATATTTAAATTTCAAAAATGCACTCTTAATAATTTGAATCTTTAAAGAATGAGAATACATGTTTACTATAAACTTTTTCAGTAAAAGAAGAATGAAACTGGAAATATATTTGCCAGTCTTACAATGCTAAGACCATTTATGCAATTAAAAAAATTATACGTTTAAAGATGATTTTAGTATTATCGTATTTCGAAAAAAAGATAATTTTTTTTTGCAGAAGAATAATATATTCTCATTCATCATGGAAAACTTTTGTTGAATATAAAGACCATCTTCCTTGTTTTTGTTTTTAATGTACCTCTGCAATCATTTGTACTGCTTCTGCCATTGCCTTGATTCCTTCCGGGTACATAAATCTGTTGTACAGGGTATCTACTGTATCATTCACAGTCACAGCACACTCCCTGCAGTACATTTTACAATTAAATGTACAACAAAGAAATTGTATAGTTGATAGAACTAATGGTAATAAAAGCAAACATAAAAATCAGATCTTTTTCATTATTCGTTCAAGGGATTAGATAAGGGATTGTTTAAGGGATTCTCCATGTGATTGATCAAGGGATTGTTCAAGGTATTGATTAAGGGATTGCTTAAGGGATTGTCCATGGGATTGTTCAAGGGATTATTGTTCAAGAGATTGATTTAGGGATTGTTCAAGGTATTGTTCAAGTGAATAATCAAGGGTTTGTTTAAGAGACTGTTCAAGGGATTGTTCAAGGGATTGTTCAAGGGATTGTTTAAGGGATTGTTCAGGGGATTGTTCAAGGAACTGATCAAGGGACTATTTAAAGGATTTTTCAAGGTATTGTTCAAGACATTGTTCCAGGGATTGTTCAAAAGATTGATCGAGGGAATGTTCAAGGCATTGGTAAAAAGATTGTTCAAGGGATTTATCAAAGGATTTTTCAAGGGATTTAAAGATCCGCATCATGATCAAAAATATTTAAAAATTAAAATTAAAATTAAAATTTGAAAATTAAAATTTGAAAATCTATAAAAGTTTTAAAACACAAAATTCAGGAATTCTGGAAAACTGCTACTTCATTTACTTCACTAAAAAATAGGGTATTGTGTTTCTTATTAAGTGAAAAATTCCTGTAACAAACTAATGAGTTGGCTTTGCTAGATTTTTTTTCAACGTCGGTTCAAAAGAGACCTAGCAGCAACCATTTTATATTTCTTGGTTTAACAATGGAAATATTGGAATACTGTAATAATTTATCTTTTATAAAAAAGTTTTAAAAAAATATTAATATGAAATATGTTTGGATTGTCACCTGGTTAGAAGTATATTCCCAGTATCAAGACCTTCATCAGGGTAGAATATAGTAAACCCTCCAGTTGTATCTCCCTCTATACATAAATATAAATATAAATATTTATATATCTATATTAAATAAACAACAGAAAATGTCCTAAACTTATTTTAAGAAGATGTATAAATATATATATTTATATATGTCAGAGTAGAATATAGTGAACCTTCCAGTAGAGATGGACACCTTCAACTTTTTTTCATTTCGTCAGTTCATCATTCGTGAACGACCCATTTCGATCCGTTTTTTTCAATCGTTCGAAACAAAATTTATTTTGTTCCTTTTTTAAAGTATCCTTAGTTTTTTTCCTGAAACCGTTCGTTCAGTATGAAACGACAGCTTTTCCCCAACTCTTTTGGAACATTCTTGCGTTCAGTAAAAAAAACGATTGTTTTTTTAGTTCGTTCAAACGATTTTAAATCGTTCTCAAAAATATTGATAGTTCAATGAAAACTATGCCCGTCTCTATAGTTCTCTTCCCTCCTGTTTTATTTACCTCTAATCATGGCAATTTTGGGTATATTTTGGGTATATTTTGGGTATATTTTGGGTATATTGTCAGCAAACCTTCACTTTTGAACCAATACACGGTGTCCCAATAAGCATAGGAATTGAGTAACGACTTCTAAATCGTCTTTGTTCCGCGCAGGATATTTTGTGATTACAATTTAGTAGTATCCCGGTTAAAACCATTGACATATAACTACCTACCCCCTACAGGAATTCCAAAAGGTGGTCTACCATTTTTTCATCATAATTAATGACGGAGAAAGTGAGAAATCTGTTCAGATTAAATTTATTAAATATCAACAAAATTGTTCAAATGCTTGTTAAATCCATTAATTTTGATAATACAACTTTCAAAAATCTGACAAGCGAACAAATTATTTATAATGCAATGTTTATCATTTATCGACTATCGAAAATCCAAGACCATTGTCAAGCCCCGTCTCTTATAATTCTAATATTTATTGGAATTATTGGTACCCCCTGTACCTATAAGAGTCCAGGATATAGCACAAACCCCTCTGTGTCGAGGTAGTATTATATGTCCCTGCGAAGTGTAATATAATACCTATAAGAGTCCAGGATATAGCACTAGCCCCCCTATGTCGAGGGAGGATTATATGCCCCTGAGATGTGTAATATAATACCTATAAGAGTCCAGGATATAGCACTAGCCCCCCTATGTCGAGGTAGGATTGAAGGATGATAGCAAATACTCTTATGCTCGGGGAAGTTCACAACCTAAACAGAAATAATTGTCATAAAAAATTACAAATGTATAGTAACAGGACTGGAATAGTGTTTACATTCGCAATATAAGGAATAATAGCGCGAACATGACAATTCGCTGACTAGATTATCCGCAGAAATAAAAAAATCTTATCTACAAATTAATTTATCTAATTCCTATATCTTTGCAACCTGATAGTGTTAATCTTATATTTCAAATTTAAAAGCATTTGGTCTATAAACAGAATTCATACAAACTCAAGTTTTTCTGATCCATATACCTTTCCTATTTAGAATTCATACTTTGAATCGGCATTGGGTTGCATAGGTATAGGGATTAAAAGATTAAAGTTTGTTGCACAAACTCAATATCAGTTTTACTTAGATGAAATGTCCCAAAGGTATTGTTGTGAATTAAACATGCCACTTTATAAATAGAGGATAACTTGGGCGTTCACAGTATCTTTACGAAATATTAAAAAAAAATATTACACCTCATTACACCCCATAGCGCCCATAACATGTTTTGAAATCTATACCTCTAGAGGAATAAATTGGGAGCAGTAGGGCATCACATTCAGCTCAGCTCCAACACTTTTATACTGCTCCAACACCTGAAATTATTATAATATTAGCCCAAACACTTTTATACTGCTCCAACACTCGAAATTATTATGATATTTGCCATTTTACTTTTTTTTGACTTGATTTGTATTCTGTACAATTTGTCCTAGCGCTGCTTAAACTTTGGAGATGGTACCGATGGTTTAAAGTCAGTCTGATTCCTCCAATGAACCGGTATACGGTTCGTTATCAATTGCATTGTAACACATGGTACATTCTGACAAATATTTGATTAAAACGCTACTGCACGGTGGACTATGGTCAATTTGAATTCGAACCGGACCGAATGTTTGTACTGGATTCTTAGCGGCATCTACCGACCCGAGTTCTTATCAGCTATTGCGACCCGGTTTCATCTTTGATGCCGCAGCCAGACTTTTAACAGCTTACACGGCCTATTTTAAGCCTATACAAGCTTAGTTTGGTGTGATTGTAAACAACAACCATGTTTAGAATAATAAAATAATATGATAACCGAATGATTTTGCTTTTCTCATACTTGAACGTAAAATCAAACCTAGAGAGCACGAGGGGGTACTTGGTGATGTCCTATAAATGTTACATTCTTTTGTAGTGTGGAGTAGATCTAATTATTTAAAGTGTATATTTGAGACTAGAAAATAAACCTCCAGTGGATAATTAGGATTCTCCTGAGGGAGTTGTATGGGGCCAGGTTCAAATATGAAATTTATGAAAAACTACTTCTACATATTAAATATTATACAGGGTGTCCTAGACAGGAAGAGACTTAAGATTTTAGATGAGACATAGTTATTTAAATTCGTGGTTTAAAACTGCCATGTTCTTAATTAATAATCTCAATTTTCGTTCTTATAAAGGAAACTTGCAAAAATTTACTTTTTTTTTTTTGGGGGGGGGCGGGGTATCTTTGTGAAAGAATGTTTTATTGGGTCTGTATAAACGTAATTTGAAGAGAATTTTTATTTATTGATTGACATATACGATTCACAACTGTACCCAGTAAACTGTTTTATTATAAATCACTCCTGTATGCCGAGTCTATTAGCGCCTGATCCAATCAGGGTTCAGCCATGTGTTTGTTGTCTATTCTGAACTAATAGAAATAGTATCAAATTAGAGTTATAAATCCTTCTATCGGTGCTATCAGTAAATGCAAATATTTACTTCAACTGAAACTCTGGTGAAATAATGTGGAAGATATTGTCGCCTTTCCAACTTGATAAGTGTTAAATTATGACAATTTTTCCCAATTGTTTCTATAGCAATAAATCCGCAAGACACTTTTTACTTAAAAACCACGATTACAAAAAGGTAATTGTGCATAGGACATGCTCAGTAAGTAATCTATTTTTGGTATTACTTGTTGGAGGCTTTGTTTCCATACATAAATTAATTAAATAATTTAATAATCATAATTATGCAATTATGTATGTAAATATTAAAATACAATGCAATGAAAGGAATTTTCTAATATTTGTTCTACAATTAAGAAATAAAAATGTGCAAATATTAAATTCTTTTCTGGAGTTATAAAACAAAATAATTTGCGCTTTGTTTTTGAACCAACGAATAATAAAAAAAAAATGAAAAGGACAAAATATGCACAATATTAGACATTAGAAAAAGTCTTTGATTTTAAAGAATTATTAGAATTGATAATGCTCTTTCTTAACCCTATTCCTGCTGGGGGCCCCGGGGGGGTCAATTTGACCCCCCCTGTAGTTTTTTTACATAACTCAAAAAGTATTGGTCTGAGGCTGTTGAAATTTTCTGACTTTTTCTACATACCCAAAGCCCTCCCTTTAGGCCTAAAACTGGGCTTTAATACTAACTGCCTGAGTCCTCAGGTACACTGCCTGAATGACTGCTTTTTCCTGTAGCAAACTAAATCTTTGTTTTGACCCACTTCCACTTGTCAGATTTTGATAAAATTTAGCTTTTTGGAAAGCCTTTGACATAAGGAAACGAATTGCACATACACATTTTGTATTTTAAAGGGAAATCGTGTTTACAAGATACAGGTTTACCCACAACTGATAAATCAATCTGTTTAGAGGAGGATAATGTATATGGTTTAAGGGTGTACCTATACCACTTGCTCTAGCTGCCAGTAAGTAGGGTTGTTAACGTTTTCATTTTTCAGAAAAACGATCGTTTCGTTATGAAAACGACGACGAAAAATCGAAAACGAAACGATCGTTTTTAGAAACGATCGTTTTTAAAAACGATCGTTTTTTTTAAAAGTTCGTTTTTTACAAATGGTCGTTTTTAAAACGATCGTTTTTCAAAACGCGCGTTTTTAAAAACGATCGTTTTTATAAAATTCGTTCCTTCGTTAACGATCGTTAACATAATTGTCAATAAAATTTTTTTTTAAAACGATCGTTTTTTAAAAAACAATCGTATAAAAAACGATCGCTATTCGTTTTCTAAAAGTTCAAAACGTTTTTAAAAACGATCGTTTTTTCCCGAAAACGAAACGATCGTTTTTGAAAACGAAACAAAAAAACGATCGTTTAACGATCGTTTTCAAAAACGATTAACAACCCTACCAGTAAGTAAGGATAATATGACTAAACAAAATATGTAAAGTAATTTCTGAAGTATCATCATTTTAGTTTTACGATAATATAGAATATATATAATACAAGCCAAAGGGCCCGGCGTTTCCCGTGGGAAAACAAAATTGAAAAAAATGTTTGAAAATAAAATCGATTTGTTTAGCCTATGACACCCCCCGGCCACCCATGAGTGTCCACAAAAAAAATCAGCCCAGCCAGTCCAGCCGTTTGGCGGCTATACGCAACATATACATATATACATATGCGTATGTCTTGTTTTATTATATAGAAGTTATTCTGAAAACATAGTATGGTCTGGACACCGTTACCTGTGGAATAGCTTCCCCCCTAGATCGCCAGGATTTGAATTTAAAAACTGGAATACCGTCAAGATCTCCAGCCAGCGCTACGCTATCCTAGAACAAAATGTAAAAAGGTATGCTGAAAGGAACTCTAGACGTAATTTTATGTGACCCTTAATAATTATTCTTACACCTTCTGAGCATCATTGAAGAAAATATAGTCGTTTTTCTTAAAGCAATGTGCTAAATGCTGCCCAATGCTTTCCTTCTCTTTGCAGAACAAATTCGCACTTTTACAGAAAACTACAACCAATTACAAACCTTCTGAATTTTTTGACAGAAAACAACTAAAATTTGTGTAATGTATACTCCGACGAAGATATCGTATTAAATCTTTACGTATCTATTATGTTTCACATTGATTGAGGTTATTAATCAACGATTACTAACAATACAATTAAAACATATATAACATGATAACTGATTAAGGTGATATCTGATTATTACACATTTCGACCATTGTCTTGCTCGTCTATTCTTTTGAACTTTACATAAGTTGAAAAGCAGTGAAGCCGAAGAAAGTTGCAGAGCAAATTCAATGATTTAGAAAAGAATGATTATGAATTGTCATCACTTAAAGGGGTAAGGTTAAAACATTCCTTATAGTTAAGGTTTACCTAAAAATTAAGTAAAATATCACTTCAGAGAGGAAAGTATTTTCAACTACTCTCCATGTTTAACAATTTTAACTTTACAGAATGTTATCAGAGCTGGAAACTCTTGTATTGTGGGAATCTCAAGATCAATGCTGATCTCATTTTGTTAAAATGAATTGCAGATTATTAATTTATTTATTATTTAATATTTAGGAGAGTGTCTAACATTAACAAATCAGAGTGTCGTTAGCGTAAAGACCGGAAAACCAATCAGAAGCCATTATTTTAAACCAATGAGAGTTCTCAGAGTAGAGATATCCAAAGAGAGGATTAAGCAGAAAATCAAAAGCAACCACAGTAATATCGAGATTAAGGAAATTTAACACGAAGATTTATAGCTCAGGGTTGAAAGCATAGGTTAGAAATATTATGTTTAATAATAATTACAGTGATCCAACAATTGCAAGATCCCATGCAAACATTAATGAAAATGTTTGCTTTTAATTACTTTTTCAAAAGTCAAGCTAAACACAAGTGCTTTTTGTTCTAATTGTACATGTATGCATGGATTATATAAAAGCGAATGGTGGGCCGGGTAAAATCTAAGACCTAGGCCTTGCGACACTTCAAAGTGGACTCAGTCTTTAAAATTGAAGCAATTTTTCATAGCAGTTTTAATCAGTATGAAATCTTTTACCTGCTTTCCGTTTTTATCCAGGACAGTGAATATTCCGACAATCTGATGGCCATTCCGTAATATACTACGGTAAACTTCCGTAGCAAAGGGAGACTGTCCGATAATTGCAATCTTCATTTTCAAACCTAGAATAATCAAAACATTTAATTTTACCTTATTTTTTATGAAACAAGAACAGACTAAATGAATTGTAACATTTTCCTCGGATCGGACCAAATCAGGCCGTTGAAGTAACAACGTGGCTGGCGAGAGGAAGAAAGGATTTTCCCCACTTGTCCGATGTCAGCTGTAATAAGTGGAGAAAATCCGCCCCCCCTCTCGCCAGCCACATTGTCACTTTATCTTCCGCCAATAATCAGTTACGTCATATTAGGATTTTGAGTGTCCATTGCTATGAAGACGACATTTATAGTACATTAGAGTTCATCTAGATTCTAGATTTCTAACCAGTATACAACCTTGTACTAACCAACCTTGAACCAAGTACAAATAGCGATGGTATTTTTTAAAGGAACTAAATAAGCTGAACTGACAACAGATTTCATGAATAGCAGAAGAGGTTGAACTACGTAAATAAAATTGAACCACTTCTCTTTAGGTTTACCCAGCACACAAGAGAACTGGTTGAACCGGTTTAACTTACTGCTTCTCGCTCTGTTACTTATTCAAATCAATAAGAAGATTAACTCCAGCCTTTAAACTGTTCCTTTTCAGTGTGCAGACTAAAATCATCGATAGATCAAGAACCATAAAATGTTATCTCAAAGATGTGAGATTAGTTTAACGGCATCAGATTAAGGAACATGTTTAACTTCATTTTATTTATTTTCTGCACCATGTCGGAAATACCATGCAACATTTACGATACTATCGTAGGGGAAAAAAAACACAGAAAACCTGAAAATGATTTTTAAAAATCCTCAAAATAAATTAAAATAATCCGATTCATAAAAAATTTCCTTGCAGAAATCTAAGTTGAGTTCAATTCTCTATACTATAAAAGTCGGAAAAAATTAGATTGAACTTATATTTGAATTTTCAAGTTTTAATATTGATAAATATGACACAACATCTATCTATATATATATGTACTTTGCTTGTCTGTCTGTTTGTTTGTCTGTCTGTCCTTTTGTATCCAATAGACGTCAAAACGGCTGAACCGATCGGACCCAAATTTTTTGTGGGACCTCGCGTGATCCCATGGAAGGTTTAGGAATGATCGAATTTTCAAAAATTTGCCTTCATCAAAATTATATTTTTTTTAAATCCACGAACTTTTTTTTAAATCCGCGAAATTTTTTAGGTTTTTGCTGTAAAATGTACACAAAGAGAATATGTTCACAATGTAAATGGAAGATGGGCAGAAGCGCCCTAGCAGCCTTGTAGACATACATTTCATACATTAAAAAGCCGGTGAATGTAAAAAAAAAGCCTTTTTTTCTTATTTAAACTAAATTTTTATGAACTACACTTTTATAAAGCCCTTGAAAATGGTACTATTTTAGAACAAGTGTTTCATCTTGATATTTGTGAAAACCTAAGCATTTTTCCGACCTTTTTTCTGGCATTGTTTTAATCCTCCGCAGCAGAAGCTCCCGAACAATTAAAATTGGCTGGGTTATTATTCAATTAGCGGACTTTTAAAAATTGGACTATGAACAGGCTATTTCCCCCTAAACCTTCACGCTAAGACCTTTTTCTAGGGAGGGAGGGCGAGGGACTCCCCACCCCAGTTTACACATAAATTCAGACCCCCCCTCCCCACCCCCAGCCTTTATGGGGTTAAGGAATGTGAAAGGATTTCGTTGTTTCATGTTTTACTTATTTATGCATTAAGAACTTCTAATTTTAAACTGTAAGGCAAACATTCGAACGATACCGTCGTTATATTTTATTAAGTCAGTAAATTGTTGATTAGTGATTACTCTCTTTTTCATTTAAGGGGGGGGGGAGGTAAGTAATCGATCCTCCGTCTATTTTGAAATCTAGAATATTTACACTATTATTTACCCCTCACACCCCCCTCTTATATTGAATGAGTCGCATGCCCGATTCACAACAGCACCTTTTTAATCTTTAGCCAATCAGCAATTGGGAAGACATTTTCGTTTTTTTTTTATGTTTTCATTACTTGAATCTGAGGCAGAAATCAGTTATTTTCATTAAGAAGCCATTATAGAAAATTATAAATTTTTGGATACAAAAAAGGATATTTTCATAAAAAAGCAAAATCGTGAAATAGTTAATAATTACCTTATTTTGACTGAAAATGGCGAATAATGAAATTTGTTTGAAATCACTCTCTATCTGTTTGTGTCTCAAGACGACTGCCCAATGTTGTGATTGTGAATTCCTACAGGACAGGTTTGGGAGTAGGGGACGATTTACCATGGTCACTACGTTCTTAAAGGGTAAGCGTAATTTCTAGTGACCTTCCAATCTAAGATATTCACAGCGGTACCCTTTTTCTGGTCAATAATGTGGAAGATTATGTCGTTTTTACAGGTTTGAAAGCGTATAATGTTATGATCATTTCCTACATATTTTCTGCTGTATAAATGGGCAATTTTCCCTTTGTGGAGAAACCACAGTTAAAGATAAACTTATAAACATTGATATCATAATTTATTCAAGATCAGACAAGATTATGAATTGTTTTCTCTGCATGGAGAGACACTTGAAACTTCGTGCGCTTTTAGTCCCTTAAAGGGCGCACTAACGCGTAATTATATCATCAGGGACGCATCACCCGTAATTATATCATAAAGAACGCACGAACACGTAATTATATCATAATAAACGCACCAACACGTAGAGGACGCACCACACGTAATTATATCTTAAAGAACGCACCAACACATAATCATATCTTAAAGAATTCGCACCAACACGTAATTATATCATAAAGTACGCACCAACACGTAATTATATCTTAAAGAACGCACCAACATGTAATTATATCATAAAGAACGCACCAACACGTAATTATATCTTAAAGGACGCACCACACGTAATTATATCTTAAAGAACACACCAACACGTAATTATATCATAAAGAACGCACCAACACATAACTATATCATAAAGATCGCACCAACACGTAATTATATCATAAAGAACGCACCAACTCGTAATTATAACTTAAAGGACTTAAATAACACGTAATTTTATCTTAAAGAACGCACCAACACGTAATTATATCATAAAGAACACACCAACACATAATTAAATCATAAAGAACGCACCAACACGTAATTATATCTTAAAGGACGCACCACACGTAATTATATCATAAAGAACACACCTACACGTAATTATATCATAAAGAACGCACTAACACGTACTTATATCTTAAAGGACGCACCACACTTAATTATATTAATTAAAGAACGCACCAACACGTAATTATATCTTAAAAACGCACCAACACGTAATTATATCATAAAGATCGCACCGACACGTAATTATATCTTAAAGAACGCGCCAACATGTAATCATATCTTAAAGAACGCACCAACACTTAATTATATCATAAAGGACGCACCAACACGTAATTATATCTTAAAGAACGCACCAACGCGTAATTATATCATAAAGATCGCACCGACACGTAATTATATCTTAAAGAACGCGCCAACATGTAATCATATCTTAAAGAACGCACCAACACTTAATTATATCATAAAGGACGCACCAACACGTAATTAAATCTTTAAAGACGCACCAACATGTAATTAGGACGCACCAGCACGTTATTGTATCTTAGATTTTAGGGTTTCTTTACAGAATATATATATTTTAGGTTATTTGATAGTGAGAATGTATATTTGTCTAAATCTAAACATTATTATTAATTCAAGGTTAGATCTGTAAATTTAAAGGTCTGTGAATTTGAAGGATTTGAAGGCTTGTGAATCGGTTTCTAGGGGGCTTGTCGGAAAACAGGATTTGAAACCGGAATTATTAGTGCAGTAATTTCAATTAAGAATCTCTGCTATAAAGGAAGGGAAGAGAAACTTATCTTTTGGGAATAAAAAGAAAGAAAAAAAAATATTTTAAATCACGGAAAATTGTTAATGGCTTTTTGATGAATTCATTTTATGTGAAATGTGAACTTACATTTCTTTTAAAAAACAGGTTTAACTTGATAATTTTGTTTTTTCTCCAAGCATATTTACTGCGTAGTTTTTTATAAAAATTGAACGCAGAAAATCGGGTTCGAATAAACTGGATTTGAGCTGGCTTAGCAACTAAAAGGCTTACTGCAGTTGTCACGTTATAAGTCACATTACATAAACTAAAACATGAGAAAACAAAAAGTTTATAATTGACAAAATGCACCTAAAAATTCTATGAAAGGGCACCGGAATATTATTTATCCTAAAATTGCATAATATTCCTTATAGAGTGGGGTGTTACAATTGTACTTGTGGATAAAATAACATATATGAGTGGCATGTTACAAGCACTTGTGGATAAAATAACATATATGATTGGCATGTTACAAGCATTTGGGGATAAAATAACATATATGAGTAGCATGTTACATGAACTTGTGGATAAAATAATGACTTTGTAATCTTTGATCGTTAAAATCTTTAAAGGGTATTCTAGTGAATTGGACAGACTACTCTGTAACTGGAGGGCCACTTTAAATTACGTCTATACTCCCTTTAACAGTTTTCATGATTTGAAGTAAAACTTAATTCTAAGATCAATTAGCATTTTTGTATTATAGTTAAATCTGAACAGTTTGTTGAAGACTTATTTAGAAATATATTAGATGCATCTAAGCCCTTTCTTCGGAAATATTTTAACTACGACATAAAACTCTTTGGTATGAAAAATAACTCGAATTAGCTAAAGGTTATTACGTTGATAGATTTTTAAAGATTCTAAACAGTGCAGTGAAGAAGAAAGAAATAGATTTTATTTTAAATCTGCAATATCCGTAAAAGGATTGATGTATAAAGAACAAAAACTCTTGTCATCTTTTCAGAGATCAAAACATATTTTAAAATTCTGTAAACCTTTGTAATGTCAAAATAAAGAAAATAAGTAAAATATTATTCTATTACAATATTTTGGATGGAACCACATTTAGACATTTATTAATTAAAACTTCACATAAATGGATCGGCCAGGACAACAAGGTGGTCTGCCGTGACAACAAATTGGTCAGCCAGGAAAAAAAGTGACCATATATCCAGGATAATAAGGGGGTCAGCTGGGTCAATAAAGTGGCCATCTGGGACAATAAATTGGTCAGCCGGGATAATAAAGTGGTATACTGGGAGAATAAAGTGGTATACAGGGAAAATAAAGTGGAATACAGGGAAAATAAAGCGGTATACTGGGAGAACAAAGTAGTAATTCGCAAACATATCATGCATCTTAACCTTAGAATATATTAAACCAATCTTTGAGCACAGAATTTTTTTCTATTAATCTCTTAAAAACCTAGTTTAATTTGTAGGTTTAGAAACTAGCCCTCTGGCCTCTGCAGAAAGATTTATTTCACCAAAATTCTGACATATTTTAAAATATAAGAAGGATTTATGCAGATTGAATACTTGAAGGTATGTGTGCTCACAATTCTAAATAGATTCATAACAGTTTTTATGAACACAAAAACTTTCATGATATAAATTTGATATTTTTCAGATATTTTATGAAGGTTATGTGAACATTTGAATGGATTTAAATGGATTAAAAAAATGCAGAAAAAAGAGATGAGATGACATTCTCAAAAACTATAGCGTAAAGCAAAACACTACAGGTTCACACGAAAATTAGGAATTAAATTGTATGTAAAATTCAAATCTTTAAAAATGTCCTTCTCGATAACTCCCATTTATTAAGACGGACAAAATGTTTTTAATTTATAATAAGTTTTCTTTTCTCGCACTTGCGCATAAAAGAAAACTAGATGAGTTACGGGGTCACAAAGTTGTACCAGTGAAATTTTACTTGCTCATTCTGTAAAGTTTACTGTGGCCAAAAGCCTTTCCATCCTTCAGGTTTTAACTTTACAATTATTATTTTATTTCTGGAACCTTCTATCTTCTACAGTCTATGTATAAATATAATTGGTTTAATTCTAAATGAATAATCTACTGGATCAAAAGGAAACTCAATTTATCACTTCTTAACAACAACGTATTATTAATTTATTAACTAATTATAAAACATACCTGTGAAAACACTTTTATTTAATCTTTGAAAAATATTCTTTCTTCTCATCAAAATATTCCAGTATTTTGAGGGGAAAAATCGCAAGTATGTAACATTTAGTCATGCACTCCAGTCAAACATAATTTTATCTGATAGCTGACGACCGAATCTTAATTTTATCTGAGCTGAAAACTTTTGAATGGTGGATATTAAGATTTATTCTTGATCTCCTCTTTTTCTTAATCTCGAGATTAAATAATGCTTGTTCTCCATTTGTTATTAATCTCCAGATTAATTAACCGATCAGGATTAAGGATATCCCATTCTAAAGTTTTCAGCTCTGAACAATTTAAAATTAACGAACAAAAATGGTTTATGAATTAAAACATGAATTAAAGATGATTAAACGCAGCTTTAAGTTCAAACAAAAGCTTACTTGTCACGTTTTGGTTTAAGTCTTCTTTTTCACCAGTTTCCCAGCTGTATTTCGGAACTTGGCTTGCTCGACTTGCTCTAAGGAATAGAGTTATATGGAATAGAATATGTGCACTTGAGTACACGCGGAATCAGGTAGATGTAGATTTTAAAAACATTTCTCATACTAGAGGTGCTTTGAAGTTGATACATGTGGTACTATGTAGTAGTACCCTGTAAAAGAAAGTAAGCGAATCAAGTGCATTTTATTAGCTTTCTACAGGCTCAGTGACATTAACGCCGGAATCTGAATTAAAATATAACAGTATGACCAGTAGCCAAGGCGAGGGGGTTCCAGTTAACCCAGGCAGAAAATAGGGTTAAGAGGTGGGATGGTGGGATGAAAACTCTCTATTCTCTAAGGTTAGAAATCTGGATTATTGATAAAGCCAGTTTGTTCCAGTAAAATATATCTCTTAATTAAACTTGTTTTTAACGAGATTTCGAAAATAGTTTATACATGATTAATACTACTACTACTACTACTACTACTACTACTACTAATAGTATCATTATTATTATTCTTATGTTCCAATTTTATATTCCAATGACGGCACATGGTTCACAGCTTGAAAGATGAAGGCTCAGGAGGCCTTCATTCCGGCTTGAATAATGACAAGTACAGGGTGTCCCACGAAACATGACAGTTGTTGAATAGTTTTGAATGTCTTCTTCCATATACTATATTGGATATTAAACACTTTTCGGATGT